TAATGTAATCGGTAAGCGAGTCGGCCACGTAAGCGAGTCGGCCACCGCAGTCTTGGCAAGCAGCCGGTTATGCCACCCATATCGGAATTTTGATTTACATATAAAAAATGTAGTATTCTTAAATATTTATATAGCTGTTTAAACGCCTGTAATTATGCTTAATCCTTCCTTATTAAATATCTCGTATATATATATCTAAGAATACCACACATACTGCAGTAAGGCGGCATACAGCAGTAAGATTAATCCTCTGCAGGCCCTGTATTACCGGCTATTTTTTTTACAGCCTAGATATTTACAAAGGCTTTATAAGCTTTCTGGATTATAAAGCTATTTAGATTATCTATTTAATACTAATTCTGCCTCTGCTTGGTGTTCTTTCTCTTAACAGCTATATAAAGTTAATAGTTCTTAAGTTCTAAAAGAGCTGCTTAGTTTAAGGCTATCTCTACACCTTTAATAATATATAATAAGGCAGTTTATATAGGTAAAGCTGAAGAATCAGGGTATTAAAGTAATTAAAATATTAATAACTTGTATTTCTTAAATTACTTTAAATTTCTAGGTATTTTAGTAATAGTTGAAGTAGTTTTTTAACTACTTGGCTGGCTCTCCTCCCTATAAAAGATAAAGTTATCTAGAACCTTACTTAGATTAAAAGGAATAATTCCAGAAGTCTTAAAGATATTTTATATATTTATAAATTTAAATACTTGAATATAGGTGTCTGGATAGATATTAAGAAAATTAATCTTATTAATATAGTAATATCCGGTTTAAATAAGGTGTTTAATCTGGTAGCTGTATACTTATTTTAATAGTAAGAATATAGCTATATCCAAAAACTAGTAGAGATGAGAAGAATTAGCTGGTATATATACTAGAATAATATTATTCTCACAGTATATATTATTAAATTAAGGTATTAAATAGAAGTTATGTCCGGTAAAAATAAGGAGATTATATTAACTAGTTCTTCAGTTCTTAATATAAGAAATAAAGTATTCCTTAAGCTAGTATTTACTAATTTCTTAATTAGTCTATCTATTTAGTAATATTATAATATACTATAAAAAAGATAGACTATTTTTATATTATATCTGTATATAGGTCTTTACTTTTAATATTATATATACCGGTAATACCTATTCTATAGTATTAATATACTCAATTAAAGTTATCTATTTACGGTTTTCAGGTTGTATAAAGAAAGGTCTTCTATAATAGAATAAATATATTACTATCTTAACTACAGTTACTAAACTTATAGTAAAATTAATTTTATTAAAATTATAGATATCTGTATCTGTAATTATATATATAATAACAGCAGTTTATATATATTAAAACTAGGCCTGTATAATCTCAGGATCCTTATACTTCGCATATTTATAACTAATTTAATATATAAACCGAGATTTTAAGAAATTATAATACTGAGAAATAAAGTTATATATCTATTTTTCACCCACTAAATTAGTTAATTTTTTATTATATTTTTATATCAAGATTAATGCTATATTATATATATAAAGTTGCTTTGGCGGTGCGCCATATTAATCCAGTAATATAATTTATTTAATAAGTAATTTCTCTTCTAAAGAAATTAGTTTATAGTAATTAGCGCGTATTTTCTTACAGTACATAATACCATTTAAATAATTTTAAAGAGTTAAATACAGAACTTTAAAAGTATCTATAGCTTTGTGAATTGAGTAAATTTAACCTTTTTTTATAACCTTAATTATAAGACAGAGCCTGTTTTCTTGTTCTACTGAAACTTTTGATAATTAAGGTATTTTTAGTAGAGAAATTGATGTCTGTATACAGGCAGTTTTGTGGGCGTGGTGGTGGTTGATAGGGTGGCCGACTTGCTTACGTGGCCGACTCGCTTACCGATTACGTTAACTAGAATTCGGAGGGTTACTGCTGACTAACGGCTTGGCATGTGTACCCAAGCTTCTCCCTCTCCTGCTTTAACTAAATCAACAAACTAGTCATCAGTCATGTTTGTATGTACAAGGTTGGAAACAGAAACCAGACAGCAATCGAACAGGCTTGAAAAGAAACCAAATTCTACAAAGCAACAGCGTATCACTTCATCTCAGAAATATAGTAAAGGGTATAGCTACCATTCCCTCAGACATTTTTTTTCATCTTGGATCCACAGCCTTCCCTTCTACTTTATAACAAACATACATAACAACGGACGGTACTTCTACCGTACCAGTGGACACGGTGGGGTATCAATTTAGTGTATGGAGTCAAGAAACATCTCCTTCCCCATGCAGCCCAATAGAGCAACTATGGAACATTGCACTATGCAAGGCTGGACCAACTCACGGTCTCATACGCATTACCGATGGCATCCAACGGTCAGTATACACGGCCATCTAAGGATATCTCCAGTACTGTCCCTCCTTTAAAGGGCGACTCCAACCCTGGAGACCTGCCCACGGGCTTGGTCTCATCGGCCCACTGATCACCATTAATCGAAGGTGGTCTTCTTGCCCTGTGATTCGACAATGGCACCACTAAGCTTCTGCACTGTGTCCTGGTCGTATCTTGTATAGTCGGGCTTCGCTTGCTTGGCCCTGGGAGGTCGTGCTTGACGAGGTTGCTCTTCGGTAGCTTCGAATTCTCCGGCCTCGGCATCGCCGGTCTCTGAGTTGTTGTTTTTCTTACCCTCTCCGTCTTTTCCGAATCGTTTTTTATACCGGGTAGTCGCATCTTCGGCGAACTCCATACGCAACCGCCGTCCAAGAAGGAAATTCACCCAGACCTTTCTCTGCCGGGGCTTTCTGGGCTTCTTGCGCTTTTCGGAGTCGGACTCAGCTTCTTCTTCTTCCTCCTCCTCCTCATCCTCCTTCACCAGTACGTAGCCCTTCACCGCTGCTTCGGCTGCTGCAAGATCCTCAAACACCACCCAAGCGTAACCCTTGCATTTGCCGGAATCTTGGAAAGTCGCCACATGTACGTTAGCCACAGTACCACATTGCGCGAAATGCTCCTCGATGGCTTCTTTGGTGGCGTCAAAGCCGAGGTTGCCGACGAATATGCGTTTGGAGGGAGCGTGTCCGGAAGCGCCAGAACCCGCTTTCTGGCCGTCTTCCTGAGGTTTGTCTGGCCTTCCAGCAAAGCTCTTTGCATCCTTAATCAGCACACGGCGACCCGTCAAGAGCTGTTCACTGAGGCCAATCGCCTCTTGGGCAGCCTTCTGGGTGGAGAAATCGACATAAGCAAATCCTTTGTTCTGAGATTTTCCGAACTTTTCTGCGCCCTTGGGCATATGTATGCGCGTGATGGTCGTATCGGCGAAGGAACAATTGCTTGTCAGGAAGGTGCGCAAATCGTCTTTGGTCACGGTGAAGGCAAGGTTTCCAATCCAGACACCGTAATCTGAACGCTTTTGGGGAGCAGTGCTGCTAGGCTTTTCGGCAGCGGTTACCCCCTCAGTCTCGGGCTTTGATTCGGAGGGCTTTGTGGTTGCTGCCTTCTTTGCTTTACGCAAAGCTTTCTTCGATGGGGGTTCCGGGGCAGAAACATCAATCTCGATCTCCTCAACGTCGGTGAGCTTGCGCTTCTTTTGGGTTCCTTCCCCGATGCTAGCCATGACTGTCGATCCACGAAAAATGGGATTGTCCGGACAGTTGTGAATGAATGAAGATCAAGGCCACAGTTCTGAGAATGATGAGAAGGCTATAACAATACAGAACGAGTAGCCCACGTGAATGCCTCTTGTCGCAGTGGGAGGTAACTTTTTTTTTCTCGTTTCATGTCGCTATTTTTTTAGGCGGGCAGAAACACTCCGCCTTGTGAACTCCAGGCTTGGCGGGATCCTTCCAGACCGGCGAACCGCGCTCGAAAGGGACTGAGCCAGCGTCAAACACTCTCACGCTTCCCTTGGCCAATTCTCCAACTTCCATCCCTTGGAACGCTATAACTTCCGCATCGGACACTCTTGAGTTGCTTCTCGGGACAATCATTGGGCTCGATTCTCGCTATGTCCCAACCACTTGACGAAACAAGATCAGTGGCCGAAAGTCTGCCGGATGCCCCTGCAAGGCCGTCCTACAAGTCTTTCAAGTGAGCATAGTCTCTCAACAACATAACTCATAGACAATTAGCTAATCCCGATCGCCAAACAGGAAGAAGTTTGCGAAACTGAAAATGAGGTTCGAAGTGCAGATGGGAGAAAGCGAGGCGCTCATTCGCGAAGGATTGCGCATCGAGGATCTTTCCAAGAGAATCCAGGAACAGAACGAGTATGCTACCCATCGCTGCCCCCCGAATCGGCTCTTCTAGGTGCTGACATGACTACAGTCAACTTCTAGAGGTATTGCTGGAGTTCAACGACAGCCTCCACGTCTCGCCCAGTCTACGATACGATTTGAGTGCACCAGAAGATGAGACCTTCCTTCCGCCTCCCGATCGAGACATCCCAGCCTCTTACAATGATCCTGCCATTGCGGGATCTATGCTCAAAGATGCCAAAGGACGTATGGCTGCTGGTCGCATGACCGCTCATGCCTATCGTGAGCTGGAGGACGATGTTCGGCGAAGCAAAGCGTTTGCACCGCACCTACACTACACAACCCTGACGCAAGTGCCCCATTCGGCACCTTTGCCCGACAATGAACCGGAAGAGCAGTACCCCGCCCACGAACTTGGATTCTTGACTCCTGAGCATGAAGCTGAGTATTACTTGGCGTTGGACGCTAAGCTGGGTGATGAGCATGCCATCGAGCAGCTCGTGTCTATGCCGAACAAATCATCCTTCGTCGAGCGCGCACGGGATGCCAATCTGCGTATACCGATATCGGTGCATAACTGGCTCCGACGGAATCAGCCCCAAATATTCCTACAGGACAACGAGAACGCTTCGGAAAAGTCTGGCTCCCGGCCCTCGCGTGCGTCTAAGAGAGCCATCGCACAAGCTCGAAAGGATGAGGACTTGTATGATGACGATGGCTCCTTTTTGGAGACTGCATCGACCACCGGGGGTGCCAAGGGCAAGCGTAAGCGGGATGAAGACAGTGGATACCGGCCCAAGGGTGGCAGCAGCCGTTCAAGCCGGAAGAAGAAGGACGATGATGGCTCTACTCCTGCCAAGCGGGCATCGAAGAGAGCCTCGGGGGTGAATGCTTGAGCTCAATCACCGCGCTATATCTGCTTTGCTTTCGATCGTTTATCTTACCGGTACACTGCATCCAAAACAAGGCAATCGAGGTTCCATTCAGCAGCAATTTTGGGAGTTAGGAGGGATATCTGGCATTAAGCTCGGAGAGATATACTCCCACTGTATTTTATAGAGAATCTTACGGTAACCGGCTCTGTACCCTAATTAAGCTTGTACTTGAATCAGCACCAACCCGAAGCGACCGTGTTCTCTGCTGCTTGCTTGCACGATCCGTAGTTGAATACAGCAAGGTGTAATGGTGTGGTTGTGGTCGAGGCCATAGAGTGAATAAAATGAATGACTGAGTGAAGGAAGGATGAATACTACCAGCGGGATTCACGTGCATCTCCACCGCGAGTTTGTCTGGTTTGCTCCGGGTCTGGAAAGTCTCCAACCACCTCCAGTCATTCCCTTTCCGACTCCAATCTACTCGATTTTACCCTGCCATCTACAGTATCTACCTTATATCACTTGCAAGGAGTAGAGATGGCTATTACCATTTTGCCTCCGGTGGTGGAGGATGTCAATCCCCCCACCTGGGACTCCGACTCAGATGCGATGTCCGTGGATTCGGACGGCGGCGTGGAATTGGCGGCGGACAATGCATCCAGACCCAGCAAACGTCAACGGTTGGTTGAAGGCACGGATATTGGCGCCGGAGTCTTGACGCCGGGTGAAGTGGTCACAGACGATCCGCAATGGATGAGGTATGGCTTACTGCTTGCGTTGCCAATTCTTCTTTTCGTCCCACCAGAGCTAATTTCTTTCTTTCTACCTCCGGCGCAGAGGACATGGCACGTACACGAACCCACTATCGACATCTATCATCGCAACCGTGGCCGGTACGGTGCAAAAGACCAACAAGCTGCTGTCCGTGCAGCCGCTTCGCGCACGATACACCCCGGAAATCGGCGATCTGGTGGTTGGGCGCATCGTCGAAGTCCAGTCCCGTCGTTGGAAAGTCGATGTTGCCGCTCCGTTGCTCGCGCAACTGCCTCTATCAGCGATCAACTTACCGGGTGGTATTCTCCGCCGCCGCACAAGTGCCGATGAGCTGCAGATCCGGACCTTCTTCAGCGAAGGAGACTTGGTCGTGGCCGAGGTCCAGAGCGTACATTCGGATGGCGGCGCATCACTACATACGCGGTCTCTGAAGTACGGCAAACTGCGGAATGGCGTCTTCCTCGCAGTGACGGGCACGGGCGGCAGTGGCGCATCTAGCTCGACTGTCAAAGGTGGTGTAGGCAGCGCGGCGGCTGCGACGGGCGCCGTGGGTGGTGTGGTCCGGTCACGAAGGCAGGTGTGGACGGTCAGCACTGCCAACGGAGGTGGAGATGTCGATGTAATTCTCGGTGTGAATGGCTACATCTGGATTTCAAAGCACGCCGACGGTGCGACCGCGGCCTCGTCGACGACCGAGAATGTTTCGATCACCCGCATGGAAGAGATGGTGTCAAGCTCGATCTACTCGAGTCAGAACGACGAGATTCCGCCTCAGACGAGACGCGAGATTGCCCGACTGGCACAGTGTATCCGGGTCTTGGTGAACGGGGGTATTCGGGTGGATGAGGAGACAGTGATGAGCGCATACGAGGCCAGTCTCCAGGTGGACCTGGAAATAGGCGATGATGAGGATGAAGATGATCGGAGACGGGAGGGAAGGGAGTACCTGGAGGGAAGCAAAGCACAGCGTGTTCTTGAGTTGGTCCTCCAACGGAAATGAGGGAGTGTATGGGGCAATGCTTGATGTATACATAGATGACTACGATTACTCGATGAGATGTTAGATACCCTCCCCCTTACCACCCGTCCCCCAGCTCGGACATTCTTTCTCCCTACCAGGTGTTACATCCCAGCTTCAGGTTAGGCACACCATTTCAGCCTCGGATGGGCAAACTCGTATAAATCCCTTCCATTTTACGACTGAAGATGAAACGAAAACGATAAAGCCCGGCCCAACCCCGCATCACGTGGTGATAGACTGGACATTGATTGGCAGTCCGTGTTTGATCGGAGGTCAGACAGAAGAGGTGAAAATGTCGAGGATATCGAGAATTGCAAGAACATCTCCGAATCTTCACGAAGCCACATGAAAAGGCCAACAAGACAAGTATGGTTTGTCAGGCAAAGCGAAGGGGCGCAAGGGAACGAGAGGAGAGCAAAAGAAAAGGCCAAGGAACGTGACCAGTTGACGCGCTTTTCTTATCGGAATTCCTCGCCGCGCTTTTTCTTTTCCTCTTTCTCCCCTTCAATTCAATTCTCTCACTCTCTCACTCTCTCTCTTTCTTCGTTCGAAGAAGATCTCTCTCTACTCTTCAAACTTACCATGTCCTTTGTCTCTGAAAAACTCTTTCTACAATCCACATCGTCTATACCTCTAGCATAGCTTTTTCTGTCGATCTTCTCACAAGAGGACCTTTCTTCTCCCATATACTTTTCAAGATTACTGCTTGGAATACTAAATCCGAGCTTCCTCGACTATCAGAGAGAGAACAAGCACCAGGAAAAAGGCCATCTTTCACCCCTGATTTTTTCTTCGCCACCCAATCTACTACTTGATTTGCCTCACTGCAACCTTGAACTCCGCTACCATGCCGGACCTGCGTCGTCAGGTGTTGGAGAGCGGCAAGACGATCTCTCGCAAGGCCGCCTCGCGCGAAGGCTCGCGCCGCACATCGCGCACCACCTCCGCCCAGAACTCTCGTCCTTCGTCGCGGCCAACTAGTCACTATGGCTCAGATGAAGAAGATGCTGGTAATTTAAGCGATGAGACCACTGCCTTGAGGTAAGCTTTTTTGTTCTTGCTTCCTTTCTTTTCCTTATTGTGCTCTTTGCGCCGGCTCGGGATGACATCATCGGCGCCTTTTCTACTTTCTTGGCCTGACTAATGCTGTTTCGGATGATATAGTATTGGCTCGTTGGATGACCTCACCGAAGATCCTGACCAGGATACCAACAACTGGACCCAGGAACTTGGCGATGTTATTGCGGACATTCTCGACCGCAAACGTAGCAGCATTCTGAGTCGCGAGGAAGCCTACGCTGCATTCTGCCGCCTGGCTAAGTCCCACTATGTCGAGGATCAGATTCGCAGCCAGATCTCCGACCTGCTGGCGGCCTTTTGCCGCAGTGTGAAGTATGAGTCTAGCGTGCGCGAGACTACGCTTGCCCTGCGTGCACTGGAACTGCTGGCCATCACGGCATTCGACAACACCATCTACGAGAATGTGGAGTCGCTGCTCTCTCGCAGCATCCGAGACTCCACCGCGACCTCTATCAAAGCTGCCGCCATTCATTGTCTCGGTGTCTGCACCATGTTTGGTGGTGCCGGTGAGGACGGCATCCTTGATCAAATGACCTTCTTCCTCGACATTGCTGCCTCCGATGGTCAGTCAATTGACGCTGCCGATGACGCTAACAGTGTCACGGCCGCGCTGCAAGAATGGGGCATGCTCGCCACGGAGATCGACGACTTCGAAGGCGAGAGTGAAGAAGCCGTGCAGATTTTCATGGATCAGCTGGACAGTGGCGACTCGGCCGTGCAAATCGCTGCGGGAGAGAACATTGCGCTGCTCTACGAAAAGAGCTATACCGAGCAAGAGGATGACGAAGACGAAGAAGACGAAGAAGGCAACTCCAACGACGCCGACTCCGACGAGGAATCTTTCCTGTCGCCCGGCGAGCGTTCCGGCCCCAAGCTCATCAAGCGCTATAATGCTTACCACAACACTCACGAGCTTGAACAGCAACTACAGTCGTTGGCTACGATCCACAACAAGCGCATTAGCAAGCGCGACAAGAAGAGCTTGCACAGCAATTTCGCCTCCATCTTGACCACGGTCACCAATCCGCGCCGCGGTCCCATGTATAACAGTGCCATCGATCACGACACCAACCGTCGTTACGGCAGCAAACTGACTGTCAAGGTTGGCAGTCAAGGTGTCATGAACATCGACAGGTGGTGGAAGTGGATCCGGTTGAATTCGCTCCGTCGCATTTTGCAGGGTGGCTTCGCGGCCCATTACTTCCAGGGAAACCGTGCCGTCCTCGACAACCTCCCTGTAATGGTACGCATGAGCTTCACCCCATCCTCAGATCGTAGCGCGGCAAAGCGCACCGCCAAATCCCGGAATAGCCGTCGATGGGCAGTTCACGATCAGTCGGATGAAGAATATTAGTCAACCAATTTAGACAATTGCCAATCACGCCTCTCCTCAGATTAGGGCTTAGAAAAACGCTTTAGTCGACTGGCTCCTATGCCAATGGAACGGGTCCACGGCGCGCCTTCCAGTACGTCACACAACGACCCATACATGTTGAATACAAAAATCGATTCTGTGCAAACCACGCATCATGAACATACAATCCAACCTTACTACCTCAAGGTGCCTCGCCCGTAACCTATTTCAGGATACAGATTTCCTCATATGCACAACATCTCCTTTGACCATCTTTGCCATTTATAGTATCTTTCTTTCATACGGTAGATTTCCTATCCGTGGGATGTGCTTTATTTTCCTTGCTTGTCGACCTATGTTCCCCGATCCCCAGTCTCAGTTTATCATTTAGTCTGTCAGTCACACTGGATAGTGTGGTACCGCAGAGCGATTTCCTGAGTTAGGGTTGTGTTTCTTCATTAGCATAGTGTGCTTCGAGTTGTTGGAATTACATGTTGCTAGCTAGCATAGTCAATGAGTACAACTGAGTCTTCCAGCCTAGGTCTACCTTGTATGTCGATAATTGTAGCAGAAACCGAGATATGCATGTGTAAAAGGTAGGCAGGGGGAGAGAGGGTCGAGCCTCAGGCCTTAAAGACCGGCACGACGCCCGTCCAGGCTCCCTTAGCCCTCTCTTCCCAGTAGCCTTCCTTCCCAGACTTCAGCCGCCATGTGACCTCACCGCCCTCGGGCGTGTTGTCCACCTGTGCAAACCAGCGCGGCATCCACTGCTCACCAGCTGACTCCATCGCCCGCCGACGGGCCCGCTGCCCTTCCTCAAGCTGGACCTTCAACTCCTCGGCACGGTCGACATCACCGTCCTCGAGCGCACGCTGGTCCGGTCGCAGACGCGAATCGGTCGCAGGGAGTTGGTCCGCCTCGATCGGGGTGACCTCGTTCAGGGTCGCCGCAAACGCTGTCAGTCCGTAGTGCTTGGGAGCGTTAGGGACAAGCGGGCCCGCATTCCAAACCGTTGTGCCGGTCGGGGAGCCGTTCTTGGTGAGTTGCAGAGAGGTCGTCCAAGTGCCAGTCAAACCGAGGCCGAGATCGCGGCCACCAGCGTCCACGGACTTGGTGCTCATTTCTTCACTGCGACCCGAGAACATGCCGCCGGCTTTGAATGTTGAGACAGTCTTGTGACCGGTCGTCTCGTTGGCAACGGTGGTTTCGCCGACTGGCTCCACATACTTCTCGCCAGCGATGATATTGCGCAGGAACGAGGTTGCCGAGGCCCAGCTGTAATGCTCCCCGGTCGTATGGAGCGTCAGTCGTATGCGACCCTCCGTGACAATCTCAGCGGATTTACCCCAGAACTTTTGGGTGGGCATGGGTGATTGTGTCAGGCTCCATTCCGGGCCATCGGCTTGGTAGGCGAGTTGAACGGGTCGATGGGAGACCTTCTCGGCGATGAATCGGAATCCTAGATCCTCTCGAACTAGCTCGTAAGTCTCGCCGAGCATAGGGTTAAAAGGTTTACGGATGGCGCGCTCCCGGACGCGGTTGCTAGACAGCGGCGACAATGCAAACGCGGTCACATATACGAGCCGTTCCACTGGATCGGAGATGCTGGCAGCTTTGTCGAGCAATGTTGAATACTCGAGGACCTCGGCAGCTCGCTGCAACAAAGAAAGAGGCTCATTAGAGGAGACGGGCATCGAGATCTGGGACAGGTCCTTGCCGACGTTCTTGCGTAGAAATCCGATCAAACTCGGCGGCATCACCGTTGGCGCAGTAATATTCTCGCGCCTGGGCACCGGTTTGAGAGGCAAAGGCGTGAGCGACTTGGGCCTCACTGGAAAGAGAGGCGAGGACTGATCGTGACCGTCACCTGTCTCCTCCGCAATCGTTTCGTCATCATCGCTGTCCGAGGGCGCATCGTCCGTGACGGCGTCTTCCTTTGCCGGTGGTGAGGATACGGCGGTACCAGTTGTTTGATCGCCGCGCGAATCCTCGTCCTCGCTATTGTTATCCCCCTGAATGGTGAGCAAGGGCGATGTATGGCCATCATCAACAGCATCGAAGAACTCCTGTGACATATCGGATTCGAAGCTATGCCGTGACTGCACTGACCGGCCGGCCGGACGACGGCGATGCTTGGTCTCAGCGATCAGATTGGAGAACTCGCTGACGACGTGATCAAGATCCCGCAGGACGGCCATTAGATGCTCGTGAATCTCGTCCATATGATCGGGGTGGCTGGTGATGCTGCCAGGTTTGCGGTCGCCATGGACCGAGGATGAATCAAAGGCTCCCGGAATGGCCAGCTGCGAGGACATAGAATTCATGGTGGTGCTGCGCTTGACGCTAGGCTGAACGGTGGCACTGCTCTTGCGCCTCCAAAAAGGCCGCCGGCCATCGTTGGGCTCTTCTCCACTCATGTCGGTTGGGGTACGGTGAGGGCTCGGAGAGCGGCCGCGGGGCCGATCCGGGCCTAGATATTTCGGATCCGTATCCTTCGCCAGGCGCCGGACGGCATCGCGCGTACCGGACACCTTGCTGACCAAATTCTCCACTTGCTCCCAATCTCGTTCATCAGAAGCATTGGAGAGCACGCGCTGAGAGGGGACCCGCAACAGCGTCTCAGACGGGTGGTTGGGATCATCGGCCGAGTTTTTGGAAGAAGAGGCCCGCTCCAATGCACGCTTCCAAGCAGCAAACTCCTGATCATTGCTGGCGCGGAGATGCCAAACCTCGGTTCCCGAATCAATCGAGATCTCGCGCGACTGCTGGTTACAGGCAACCGCGGCCAAATTAAGAGGGATAGAGCCGCGCAACGCAGACGAGTTCCGGTCGTGGTAGTATGAGAGCGTAGAAGAGGTGAAGTCGAGGGAAAAATAGCGGCGTGCCCAACCCTGGTGCCGCTTTCGTCTGCGCTTTTGCAGCAACCCGGTGTAAGTTGGAGCTGAGTCAATCTCACTGGGTCGTGAGGGCGGCGGCGGAGGCAGCATGCTGTTCCCCCGACGGCGTGATGGCACCGGCTTTCCGGCGTCGGCTATCGCTGCCGAGTCCGCGTTCCCCGGCTGCGGTTGACTGGCTGCGTGGGGCACTGGCACCGATTGCGGCGGCAGAGCGGTCGGATAGGTGAGCAGGGCGAGGGTCACGGTTTTGGAGATCTGCTTGGAAAAGGTATTGTCGAAAACCAGGCCGTAGTTGCCCCCCTCGTTGGCGGGGACATCGTAGGTGCCGCGAACAATGCGTTCGGCTTCGCATTTCCCAAGCCACTGGATCTGCTTCAGCCCCATCCCCGTCAATCGCTCAACGATGGGGGAGCCATTAGCGCGCCCACCGGTGCTGGCGGCGATGGGATCGGGGGTTTCGGAGCTGGGAGTATCGGCGGTCGCGGGGAGGTTCGGGTTTGATCCGAGCAGGGCGGAATTGCCGGGATGTTTAAAGATGCCAAAGTTGATGGACTTTTTGTGTGGTTGAATGCTCCATGAGATGGTGTGACAGGACTTGACAGCAACCCAGCGGACAAAGTAGGACTGGCACGCGGCAGAGTCGGGGTCAGCCTCAGCACGATCTGATCGGCGCGGAGATATCGATGCAAGGCGTGTGATAGATTGAGGATGATAGGGAAGAGGGGGACACGGGCGTGTCAGTCATCCATCCCTTACCTTGCTGTGGATCTCCAACTCCTCCATGGCAGCCATGACGGGTGCGGGGAAGCAACAACGAACGGGCTCGGAGCCGTGAGGAGATCGAGTGATGTTGGTGAATTTGCAGGAAATATGGACCGTTTTGATGGAATTGAAGAAGAGCGGTTGCCAAAGGGGGGACGAAACGAATCGAGGAGGAGGTTGACAAAGGGAATTGAGCGCAAGGCTCAGCTGCACGAGGGGTGGTCAGCAGGGAGAGAGATCCATTGTTGAGAGGTCAGACTCACTCACTCTTCACTCGGACAACAGGATTCGGGGCAACTGGAGAAGCATTGGGTAACCCGAGAGATAGAGACAAGGGTAGTAGAGGAATTGATTGGATTGTATAAGAAAGGATAATTGTGGGAATGAGTTAGTGGTGGAAGAGGAAGAGAAAGAGTGAGGAAGAATGACGAGGAGGAGAGAATCAAGGAAGGGAAAGGGGAAGAAGCCGAAACAAGCGGCAAGTCAGCCGAATTGCTGTTCTTCCTTCTTTCGTCCTTCCTTTCCGTCAAATCCTCGCTTTTCTTCCATCACATGCCCTGAAATCAGCCTCAATTTTGAGAGGACCATTCATACAATTTCAACTATACCTACTTCTATCTTCTCCGAGGCAGAATTGGAAACCTGCCATAGGTTCGACCACAAATAACCAATAATAATGCACTTCTCCCGCGACCCAATGCATCCACGACTATAGAAAACTATAGATGATGAAGAAGAAGAAGAAGAGGAAGAAGAAGAAGAAAATATAAGTAATGAACAAGTGGGTGATAGTAAGAACAAGTTGAGCCAAGCAGTACCCTCAGAATAAATGCCAAAAGCAACCGGAATGAAATACGCGAGAATGGTAGAAGTGGAATAGTAACCCCAGATAGTTGTCCCCTCCTTCCAACCCGCCACCAACCAAGTATTACACAAAGTATACAAAAGTCAGAAGAGAGAGAAAAAAAAATTAACGACGCCTACCCGCCTGCATGTTGGTGAATAGCAGCTTGAAGCCGTTGCACAAGGCCCCCATGTCCGGATACGGATTGCGCTGCAATTCATATCCCTGAGGGATCACTTTCACTGGCCAGCTGTGCGTCTGCGCGTTCTCACCCGCCTTGAAGCACAGGAAAAAGTACCCGGCGTGCTTGGGATCCAGGCAGAATGCGTACGCCGATCGGCGTGGGTTGGCCTTGGTGTATGTCTCCAGCCACGAGTCTGTTGCGGGCCAGTGAGCAAGAGAGAGAAAACAGGGAATGAAGATGAAAGGATGGAAGGAAAGGCAGTTAAACTTACAAGTAGCATCTCGAGTACCATCCTGATACTTCTCATGTAGCATGATCTCGTCTACCTTTTTGGACATCGCCTTGACGTGGTTGAAGATCAGGTCGTCCAGATCACTGTATGTATAGCGACCGCCCACCTTCAGCGTCCGACCAACCGAGAACTCGTTCTCCTTATCCAGCTCGAGCACATCGATATGCTGGAAGACACCATCCGCCACCTTCCAAGTGACGGCCAGATGGTCGGGTCCTTTCGATGAAGGCCGAATGACCACGTCGCCTCGACTCTGCGAGCCCAGGAACTCTTCAGCCTGTGTCGAATTAAACGACCGGAAAAATGGGTGCTTGATGACGCGCATCGTCCGACCGCCACTTTGAGTCGTCTCTTGCATAGCCTCTCGGTCTTCACGTTCTTGCCTATCGTCCCATTCGCCCTGCATCCTATCTCCCGGAGTCCTTCTGGTGGGCCGGCTGACCTGCTCCTCTCGCAGCGACACGTTACACGAAAATGTCTTCCGGTTCAGGAACAAGACCTTAGCAGGCACTGTTTGATGCGGCTGGTATAGTGCTCGCACAGGGATATCGTACCGATCCGTCAGCTCCGATTCCGGTACCAGCGCATCAATGCCGCAGTCCAGCTTGCCGTCGATGTGATCATCGCTCACCCGCTTGATTGAGATGGGGACCACCATACCCTCTGCGAGCGTCTCTGACGTCTCGCCCGTGAGCATGGTAAAGATATCTTCGGTGCTGAGGAAGACATATTGTTTCCGCAGTTCTTCATACGGTTGTTGCAGTTCGGCTCGAATCGTTTCGAGTGTTGCCCGCTTGCGCTGATTCAAGTTCTTCTCCAGCTGCTCCGCGTATTCCTCCAAGATCAGGTCGTTCACACGATCTTGGGCTTCTTCGCGGAAGAGCTTGCGTACGATCGCTCCCGACCCATTCTCGTCGGTTTCTGCCTTGATATCCTCCTCGTCGAGTTCCAACGCATCGGCCGCCATCTTGCGCGCGATGTCGTAGTCTTCTGGATGTACACGGGTGTTATCAAGCGGGTCGGCATCGGGATCTGCGTTCTCAAAGTCGATGTATAGGAAACTGGCGCAGTTGTTCCATACTTTGACGCCCATGGCCGGGTACTGCGCATTGACACCTAGCAGCTCGACACGGTTGTTCACCACACCACCGTTCATGTTAACAATTTTCAGCAGATGAGCTGCCTTGCGTGGTCCCAGACCACAAACATAGGGCAGCAAATTGGCTGTCGCCGGATCTGTCACTGCTTCGTTGAGATCCACGCCCACCAGGTTGACCATATCGACCAAGGCCGTCTCCAGTTGCTTCAACAGCAAGTCATGGGAGATAAGCTGCTGGCCCGGCTTGAACTGGATTGACACAATGTCACGGCCGAGCGAAGCGTATTCCTTGAGTGGGCTTTGCAGGTACTTGGCCAGTGCGACACAGTAATGCGTCAAGGGCCCAAAGCTCGGATGATCTTTCTTCGCGCGCTCACTGTGTTGATACAAGCGGGCCACTTCGTCATTAACAATGACCACCTCCAAGGGATCAGTCGCTGTCTCGTCCCGGTCATCGGTGTAGGGCGCGCCACACAGATTCCGCTTGTCCACCAGCTCGGTCAAGAGCTTGTACAGGCGACGCGTCTCCGGGGTACTACCGGAGACACCAATGACATCCGGGCGGCGACGGCTGACTAGACTGGTAAAGGCTTCCACATCCTTGCCATCGGCCACATTGCGCTCGCGATCTCCAACGGACAGGTCCATGAATTTTCCGTTCTCCAGTACCCTGCCATCTTCCTCCACATAGGCCCAGTGGATGGGCTCCCGCCCCACCACCCCAGAGCCCGTAGAAAGGGTCAGCACGCGCGGTACGGTACCTAGGACCATCCCCTTGGGCTTGTAGGGAGCCTGGTCTAGCCGGTAAGAGAAGGTCTCGCGGCACTCCTTGGCCACTGAATTCTCGCATTCTTGGCGGAGGTTCTCCTTCACACTGCGGTTGATCAGCCGCTCCAACTTACCCAGTGCCAGATCCACGATGTCACGCCGGTTGCGATTCCACACGTCCGCCAGCTCGCTGTAGTTATCGGATTCAATGTCTGTGTATAGACGTTGACGGAAGTGGTCAAAGTTTTCAAAGCGAATCTTGACGTCGACCAGGCCTTCCTCTTCGGCCTTGAGCATGCGCAGGTACATCTCGGGTCGGCGGGCAATGTCGCTCAACTGTTGATTCCGGAGATATTTGAATTCGTAGTAGGGATGCTGCTCATCAATGCGTCGCAAGCCCTTCTCGGTGCGGAAGCAGTCGACCACGCCGCTCATGTAATAGGCCTGCCTGACTACCTTGCGCATCTTTGGGCTCATGACGATTTCCTCGGCGAACATGGTCTTAGCGGCCTTGAGCACATGGGACGAGTTGGAGAAGTCGTTGTCCACAAACGAATCTGCTAGCGCTTCCGGGAGCTCGGCAGGATCCTCGGTGTATTGCCGGCGCCCTTCTTTCAGCGCATTCTGGGCAAAGCCATCGGCAGTAATGCCAAACGCCTGGACAAGGCCGTACGCCTTGCCGTTCCGGACGCGCTCAAAGAATGATTTGCTGGTCGCTTTTCGCCGATGGGTCTCCCCAGTCTTGTCTCCGTTCGCGAGGGTCACATCGCGCAGATGGGAGGCATATTGGAAGTGAATGTAGTCCTGCACGTCCTGCAATTCTTCCATGCTGGAGGCAGTAGACAGCATTTCATAAACGATGTCATCGTTAATGTTGAATAGACTTTGCAGGTTATCATAGGTTTTTTGAATTGTGGTACGCTTCTCCACGAGGGCTTTGAACTTAAGATCATTGTCGAAGATTTCCCAGAGGTCGGTCATGTTAAGGAGCTTCTCGGCCTTAGTGGTGTATTGGGCGCCATCGACATCGAGTTCAGCCCCTTCAATAGGGACCTTCACAGCATGGATCATATAATCCTTCCGATGCTGAAAGATGAAAGGGACCTCCCAATCGTCCGTCACAAGGAATTCGAGCACCTTGGCGACTGATCGTTGGAAGGGATCCCGTAGCTCCGGGTCAATGCGCTTTTTTAGGAGCATCATGTTCGAAATCCAGGCCGCCTCCTCGCGAAATTGCTCCTCCGTCAAGACGATATTGCGATAAGGCTTGCGGGCGATCTGATGCCGCTCGGGCTCATCCAGTAAGCGGATCTGATTATCCTCCTCGGTCAACATCTTTTCGGCCAGCTGGGACGGTTCGAAAACGTCCTTGAGGTCAAGATGCTTCTCTTCGTCCTCTTCCTGCTCTTCTTCTTGTTCCTCCATCTCCAGGGCGAACAGATATTCGTTGCCGTCACCGAAGGCGGCGCGCATATCGTCGAGCGCGTTTTCATCTAGGCCAGTCGCATCAGTGACCCCCAGACCACCCTTGGATGTGCGGGCAACCTCATAGTCTTCGCGCTCCCGCTGGACTTCCTCGTCGGAGAAGACATCCTCCTCGATAAAATCGTCCATCTCGTCGTGCATGGTTCTCCGGTGGCCGGACCGTCCATAGTCGCCGGCCGGTTCCTCGTCCTCATCGGAATTGAAAATATCGTCGATTCCCTGAGACGGTTGTCGTAGATCGCGATCTTTGTGTCCACGCTTGAGCCGCTTAAATTTGGGCTAAAACCGGCATATCGTGTTAGTCTGAAGCACAACTGAGGTTTCGGTCCAGTAGCGCGGTGGACATACCTCTGCTGCAGATGAGGATTGGAACCTCGGAGGTAATTCGCCGATAAGCTCCAAGTCTTCTTCATCCAGGTGCTCTTCCTCGCGCTCGCGATCCCTCTGCTTCCTCTTCTCCCGTCGGCGCTCGGCGCGCTCCTCTAGTTCTTCATCCTCGTCGACAATGAAGCCTTCACGAACCTGATGAGAGGGTTGAGGTCAGCAGAGAACGCATAAACTGCGCGCTTTCTTCAAAGACATCGGAGGGGACTTACCGCACGGGCAGCTTCTTCATCATCGTCGTCCTCCTCTTCCTCTTCACTGGAGTCGTATTGGTTGTTAGTGGTGCCAGCACCCTGACGGACATCGCCGTCGTAGTCATCGGCCAACTCCTCGTCATTTTCGTCGTCATCAATCATGGCCTCCCCCTCGACCAGATCGCGTGCACTCATTTTGTGTGACGTCTGGGGTCTTTCGACAAGTTGAGATGGAGGGAGAAGAGGCAAGCTGAACTAGTCCGCTGCGGCGAGGATGTGACGGGCGGAGTGAAGCAAGGCTTGTTGACAAACAATCAATAGAGAAGGATCCAACCCGTGCGAAAGAGACGACAAGGGACCGACAAGAAAACGATGAGGTGTTGGGAAGGGGGGAAAGGAAAGGAAAAGAAATGGAAGTGAGCTGGGCTGAATGGGGAAACTGGAACTGGAACTGGAACTGGAACGATTCAGCACTGCAGTGCAAAGAGATGAACGAGACTGTGGCGCGCGACTGGTTCGTTCCTTTCACCGCCCGGAGAGCTACTGTGGCTGGTTGTGGCTGGACCGCGGTAGCACGTGAGAGAGCTAGTCTTCTCTTGGTCTAGTATGTGTATACAGCTATTCACATCAACCAACCACGCAGTTTGATAGAAGGACTGTCATGTGATTCTTGGGCCCCTCTCTTTCTTGGGCTGCCAGAAAGCCTTCCTCGAGTCAGTTTGGATCCCACGACTGATGATGGATGTTCTTTGACATTTCTAATTTGGTCCGAAAAAGCTCCCCAGGCCGACTGCCATGTGGAGGAACCCCGCCAGCGAGAGACTGCATGAGCAACCCCTGTTTCACTAGTTCAGTACCAGCGGGTCCCTCGCTCTCTTTGTTGCGCGCGCAGCAAATGGTGGGAAAAGAGTCCGGAAAAAAAAGAGACAGGGAAAAAATTCAGGGAAAAAAAAAAAAAGAAAAGAAAAGAAAAGAAAAAGAAAAGAGAAAAGAGCGAGAGGGAGAAAGAGAGAGAGAGGGAGAGAGAGGGAGGAGCTAGTCAAGGGAAGATGCATAAGTAGAGAGCTACTGCTGCTCCTCGCTCGCTATTTCCTATTGATTTATTGATGTGATTGCCGTGATTGTGACTGCCTGCCTGTCATCTTTTCCCTCCATCGCCGCCCGAACCAACCAACAACTTAGTAGTAGTTGTAACTTACTACTGTACTTCTGCCCTCCTTCCTCTTCTTCCTCCTCCCCCTAACACTAATCTCTCTTCTTTCTTCAACACCCACCCCCCTTCTACCTCACTCAATCCTCTTCGTCTTTCCGCTCTTAACTACTATTTCAACACTTCCGTCTTTCGTAACCAACTACGATCATTCAGATAATCAACCTGAGCGTGCCCATTCACCGATTTTCCCCCCCTCCCCCCTCCTCTTTTGTCCCCCCACCTGTTCTTCCGGCCTCAGACGCTCGGCGCTTGTCCGGATCGCAGCGTCGTCCGAGTCACTGTCGGACTCGGAACCACATTCAATCGAAGTAGCAGTTTGACCAGAAGAGTTTCACTCTACCGTGGCGTCTATCATCATCCAACCCTCCTAAATACGGCGGTCTCGTCACCCCGCCTTCGTCACACCGTCTCTGTTATCAGCCGCCATGGCCGATCAATTCAAAGCGCGCACTTTGAAGCGCAAAAATGTCAAGGGACTTGCCCTGAATGCCGCCCCTAAGCCTGCCTCAAATCCTTCCGATGGTGATTCTCAAGCTTCTGGCGCCGTCGGCGCGACCGAAACCACGCGCACTGACACCCTTGAAATTGGATTGGAGTTTCGACTTGACCTGCGAAGTGAGGATCTCATCACCTTGAAGGAGCTAGGCGCGGGCAATGGTGGTACGGTTTCCAAGGTCATGCACGCCTCGACCAAGGTCGTCATGGCCCGGAAGGTAAGCTCCGCAATGTCGATTGTAGCTAAGACCATGCAATACTGATGGATGCCATAGATCATCCGTGTCGATGCCAAGGAGAATGTGAGAAAACAGATTCTACGTGAACTTCAAGTGGGCCATGACTGCAATTCCCCCCATATCGTGACTTTTTATGGAGCGTTCCAGAACGAAGCCCGGGATATTGTGCTATGCATGGAATATATGGACTGCGGGTAGGTAGTCCGGCCGCTTTTCTTCCTTCACTGGCAGTATTGACTGACCAATACCACAACAGCTCACTAGATCGAATTTCGAAAGATTTTGGCCCTGTTCGGGTCGATGTGCTGGGCAAGATCACCGAGTCTGTGTTAGCGGGGCTCGTGTATCTTTACGAAGTCCACCGGATCATGCATCGAGATATCAAGCCGTCCAATATCACCGTCAACTCACGAGGGAACATCAAGCTGTGCGATTTCGGTGTTGCGACCGAGATCGTTAACTCTATTGCCGATACCTTCGTAGGCACGTCGACCTACATGGCTCCGGAGCGAATTCAGGGAGGTGCTTACACAGTCCGCTCCGATGTCTGGAGTGTGGGACTGACGGTGATGGAACTGGCCGTCGGGCGCTTCCCGTTTGATACCTCGGACGCAACGGCTGGTGATCGCGCCAGCGCTGGCCCAATGGGTATTCTCGATCTGTTGCAACAGATTGTGCACGAGCCTGCTCCGAAACTGCCCAAGAGCGATGCTTTCCCACCTATCCTCCACGAGTTCGTCGCGAAGTGTCTCCTAAAGAATTCCGACGAGCGACCAACGCCGCGGGAGCTCTACGTATGTTATTTCCGCAGGATTATTTAAACAGCGCATAAGACTGACCGGTATTATAGGACAAAGATGCATTCTTACAGGCCGCCAAGCGGACACCAGTGGATCTCCAAGAATGGGCCATCAGTATGATGGAGCGACACAATCGGAAATCGTACCTCGCCCCTCCGGCGCCTAAGTCACTCAAGGATGACATTCAGTTTTCTTCTTCGCATCAGTCCAGCCCTGCTGTCAAACCTCCCGTCACCAAACCCCCCGTCACCAAACCCTCCCGCACCCCGCAATACGCCTCTCCATCGTCCTCCTCCGGCGATATCCCTGCCATGGGTCACGACATGCCTGCGCACTATGCCCACAACTATGTTCCCGCCAATCCCTCACCCAGACCTCGCCGGACGACTCGCTCTCCGCCAATTTCCTTGGAGCATCTGTCACTGGAGAACCGAGACGAGGAATATCGCTCTGGCCGACGGCCCTCCCGTACTCCTGTGGGTGGCCCTTCCCCGGGTCTGGAGCCTCCCATGCACCCCATGAGCTCTCGTTCCGCGAGCTCTCACAACACCAAGTCGAGAATGCCGCTACAGTCCGCAGCCGCCCTCCCTGTCCGCTCGCCGCACCAAGGTCCGTCGGCAGGCTCTAGCGGCAGCAGTTCCTGGCAGCGGTCAATGCGCGGCGACCACATGAGCGGTGCCGTCTAAAAGTACGAATATGGCCTCTGCAGGGAACACCCCGCTCCGTCTTGATCATGACTCTTCATTCCTCATTCAACTTCTTCTTCCCCTCTTGCATCATTCTCGGCGTATTCCAATCATCGGTCATGATATCATCTTCCATCTCGTTTCATCTTACGTCTACTTACCTACATACAGAGCTATACATACGTGTACCCTTCTTGCCCACATCCCACTATTTTTCTCATCCCCATCTGTCCAAGCCTGTTTTCTGTCCACTCTCCAAAGCGTGCAATTCGAATTCAGCCTGCTATCAATCTTGAAACAGTGACAATGATGCCGGCGTTGCAGCAATTCTGCGTTCGCGTTAATTGATTGCCTTTGGTTGTGAATCGCGAGGCTGGGACTCTCGGATTTTCTTGTTACATATTGGTGCCTTTTTCAAACTTTACTTCTTGTCCATTTCTGCCACAATCAGGGTCCATATACTTTTGTTGGATATGCGAAGCGAAGACTTCACGAATGCGAAAACGAAGATGATCGTGCGGGAAAAGGCACATATCCATGCCTGTCGGAGCTCGTACTACACTGCAGCCGCAGCTGCAGCTGCACTGCGCGCAAACCACCCTGCTCCTTGGGAGGCTTAGTCGGGCTGGTCTGTCCTATTCCCCCGGCGCACTACGAAGGACGAATCAGAATCGTTGTAATCATTGGATAAATGCCTCCCGAGCCAGACTCGAAGTAAGAGTGAACGGTCCCACTATAGGCCATTACAGAGTGAGACGAGTAGACAGACATTGCAAGCAAACGAGCCGAGAAACGAAACAGAAGGACCGAACGAGAGTAAACACCGATACCCGAAATATGCAGCAGGTCACAATCCCGTGACCCCTAAGAGCGGACTAAGCAAGGAAAGGCATTATTTCACTACACCTTGAAGCTACCCACAAACCTCCCACCACTCAAACCCAGCCTATTTGCTCACAGGTTGCGAGCCTGGAGCAGGACTGGGGCCAGGAGGTGCGGGAGCGAGGCTGGGTCTAGGGGCCAGCTCAACCATCGGCGCCTTGCCTCCGCGGGTATTCATCGAACCTCCGCGACCCAGGGCACTACCTCCGCGACCCGGGGTGGAAGCAGAGCCTCCAGCCTTGTTGACCCGGGATCGGCGAGTGGTACTGCCGCCTCGCGATCCGGGACCACGTAGAGGGAGACCAGTCGCCTGAGAAATAGGAACCGAGCCGGCTGCGGCGAGGGGCACTTGATGATGTGTAGAGACAGGGCCCCGACCGCGACCACCGCGACCACGGCCCCGACCTCTTTTGATCGTACCGTCCGCCCTAGACAACAAATGAGCATTAGCAACGACCCGCTAGCTGCGGTCCATAGAACTCACCTTTCCACTTGCACCTTCTCGCCCTCAGGCACCAAAGGGCCACTATAGACGAAGAATCCATCCTTACTCGCGGCGGCCTGTTCCTGCCAGGCCAACTCACTGTCGTCCACGAAGGGGTCGTCCCGATCATACTCCTCCATCTTCTTCTTGCGTCGTTTCTTCTTGCCCTCCATGAGCTCGGGTCCGTTAGATCGCATTGATGCGCCAATAGCACCTTCTCCATCCATCTCACTATCGCGGTCGGCATCAAGCGTCAGATCCTCATCGGCGCTTTCTCCAGCTGAAAGGCCGCGTCCGGTCTTGTCGTTGCGCTCGAGGGCAGCCCCGGCAGCAGCTACTCGCGCCAGACGTTCTTTTTGGGCCGCTAACCGTGGATGCAGCGCCGCGAAGCCGTACTGCTCTTCTGCTAGGCGAGCAAAGTTGACAATTCTATTACCACTCCCTTGGAGAGGAATGTGGAGAATGATATTAGGGGTTCGACGCTGCGAGGCTTCGCTAGTGGAGGTGCCACCGTCTACGCCGAAAAGCGCATTGGAGATCAGGCCCGAGCCTTGAGGCAAAGGGGGTGCTGATTCCTTGGCCGCTTTCACCGGTTTAGGGGACGTAGCATTAGACGCGGGTGTTCCTCCGGGACTGGCTTTGACTTCCTTCTTCGCTGCCTTTGGGGCAGCAGTTGCCGACTCCGTATCAAGATCCATTGGTGTAGGCTCCGGAGAGGGCGGTGGCCTTGTATTTGGTATGGGTGCGGACGGTAAGGATGTTGTGGCCGCTGCTGCCGCCGGCGGCGCCGGCGGCGGCGGCGGTATCGATGACGATGTTACTGGCGCCGAAACTGATGATGGCAGAATCGCAGATGAAGATGACGCTACCGACTGCGATGGCTCAGATGCCGGTGCTGGAGGAGGAGGCGCCGCATAAGGAGATCGATGTGCGTACGGAGAAGTTGGTTGGGACTGTAATTGAATTGGCACTTGAGGCGGAGTGGGTGCGGGTTTAGGAGCCGCTGCTGGGGAGGGCAGATAACTGGGCGGACCTAGAGTGGGAGAGGCATAGGTGCGACTGGGGTAGATCGACGGGGCAGCCGTTGATGGCGGATCAATAATGCTGGCGATGGCGGGTGATGCGCTGGCGCGGAATGGTGGACGGGGCGAAATCGGATGTGTAGGAGGACTAAAAACTGGCGGGGCGGATGAAGAAGTGTCGAAAGCCGACCGAATCGGATCAAAGTTCTGGCCGCTGGTCCGCTGCGTGGGCTGAGAAGCGGCAGGAGGAGGAGGTTGATGATGATGATGAGGAGGAGGAGGAGGAGGAGGATGGTGAGGATGGTGATTATGATGGGATGGTGCCGCGGAGGACATCATAGGCGAATAATGCGAGGGCGCGGGCGGGGGAGTAGGATGAGACGAAAGTAGTCGGGGCGAGGGCGCGTGCAAGGAACGCGTCGGCTGCATAAGCGGCGGATGCTGGGAAGGAATACTGGGCCGTGGAGGACTAGCCCCCGGAGTGCTGGGCGTGGGAGTGGGAGCTGAGGCAGCAGTCACGGCAGTATTCATCAAAGGAATGGTTGAGATGGGGGGTGTATGGATGGCGTGCAAGGGGACGTGCGCTGGTGCTGTGGCTGCTGCTGCTGCCAGTGCATACGGCAGCGAAGACCCAGTTGTTCCAGGCACAGAGACCGACGCGGGAGCCGGACTTTGGTCTGGAGTGGCTGGCTCCAACTTGGGCTTCTTGCGGGCTTGTGAAGACGATGCAGCTAGATGAGCACTCGCAGTCGAGAGAGACTTATCTCGCTGGCGGCGACTGCCCCGTTTGGGCTCCTTCTCGCGATTCTCGTTATTCATGTTCGGGTCGTGATCCTCCTCCTTCCGATTTGAATCATTGTCTTTCGCTCTGATCGATCGGACCGTGTCTCTGCGGTCGGCTTCGTGGTCGTCGTCCTTCTTGCGACGCGACCGTCGAGGGCGACTCTCGCGAGGGGTAACGTCGTGGGCGGTGCGGGACTCGTGTTCGTCCTGGGCCGGTAGATTGGACGACTCGGGGGACATGATGAACAGGAATAGACAAGTTGAGGGTGGGAGAAGGAAGGAGAGGAAGAAAAGAGGCTTAGAGCAGGAAGTGGTGGTGCATTGAGAAGGTGGTCGGAAACTTGCAGGATATCTATCGGGTTCAGTTGACGCGTGGAGTGTCCCTGAATGTGCAAGCTACAAGTGTCAAGACGCAGAAAGACAGTTCCTGGAGATGTGGAACAAGACAGGAGGGATGAGAGTGAGGATGGAAGGGCGGAGTCAAGGCACTCCTGCCCAAAAGACAGTGGAATGAACACCAAAGGAGAAAGCAGGAAGGAAGAAAAAGAAAGGGGAAAGAGATTGGGGGAAGTTGAGAAAGAGGCGAGGAGGAAGTATAGCGTATGGCGTAGGGCCAGACCAGACCAGACGGGAAGATGAAGAGGAGATGAAGAAGGCAAGAGAAGAAGAGGAGGAGGAGGAGGAGGAGGAGGAGGAGGAGGAGGGAGCGGAACTAATGACCCCCAATGCAAAGAAAGTAACACCACTAGTACTGACAGCAAACAGGAAACTGTAGCTTGCTGGCGTTGCGTTTGGACTGGTCTAATTTTCCTCCCAGATCCTTGTTATTACTTTGTAGGAGATAAGGTCTGAGGTCTATACGAAGATAATCATCTGTAGTGGTTGAAGTGATAGTGGGTTATGAATGAAAGTCTATGAAACTGATTGTGAAGGTGGCCGTGAAGTGAATCAGTCTACCCGATAGTTGTTGGTATACACTCATTGATTGTTACAGTCTGTGAATGAATCAATCAGAAAGAAAGAGATCCCCATCCGATATCAGATTAGGTCACATGACTCTTCGAGCTTGTCCCAATCAGGCAGTCCAATCAGGTGAGCCACTAGGCCCGACTGGGACTAGCTATCCCCGGTTTAGCTTTTGAGCCTCATGCTGACTCACTTTGACTATTCCTCTTCGGGAGCGTTCTTCATTCCTTCCCGCTCAAGCCTTTTTTCCGAATGGCTTCATCATCGTCTTCATCCGGCAAGTCTCCAAACCTGACTCATCATGGCTTTTCGTGGCGATCGCTTTATCCTCAATCTGGACTCGGACGAAGAGGAGCTGCCTCCCGCCTCGTCAGAGAATGCTCCCACCCTGGCTATCCCCGGTATGATCGGGGAAATTCGTGAACGGTCCCCCGCCGCAAACCCCGCCCCGCCTACGCTCAAGCCCACCACCACCGGATTTCCCGCTCACCGTCGGCGCAACAACCCCTCTGCCTTCAAGCAGCGCCGAGCTCCGGGCACATCATCTGTTACGGCTCCATCGGGAACGGCCTCAAACTCAGCCACCGAGAACGCCGAGAACGACGAGAAGCAGGCCATTGCAGAGCAGAACGACCGACAGTTGGCCTCCATGTCGCAGGCGCAAATCCAACAGGAGCGTGAAGAACTACTTGAATCTCTGGATCCATCTCTACTCGAACGATTCCTCCGTCGAGCCCGCATCGATGACACCGAGTCTGCCTCTCCATCCGCGCAGCCACCACAACAACCACCACCACCACCATCCGAGAATCAAGCCACAGAGCGGACCGAGAACTTAGAACGCAACTCTGGCACCAAACCAGAACCAAAACACGCTCAACCCTCCTCCCAGGATGAACACCCATCCTCCTCATCCAAGACAACCCCTCAGCCATCAACAAACCCCTCGATCGACGACCTCCCACCTCCACAACTTCCCGACGACCTCCATCCCGCTGCCGCCGCCTCCCTTCCCCTCTCCGGAAGCGTACACTTCCCCACGGCCCCTTCCGCATCCACCATGCCAAATCTCGATCCCTCGTCCCCGAATTTCCTCACCGACCTCCAAACACACTACTTCCCCAATATTGCCCACGATCCTTCCAGTCTTAGCTGGCTGCAGCCACCTTCGGCCTCCGACGAAGACCCCGACTCAACCTCTCCCTACCACCCCGCCAGCACGGCTGAGGCCATCCACCCTGCAAACCTCCGCTTCTCCTTGCTGGGCACCATTCTCTCGCCCTCGACCTCCTTATCTCTTCCCACAAGTCTAGGGCTACATCATCACGGCAAAGACCCCCACGCGGCGGGGTACACGATCCCCGAGCTCGCGATCCTGAGTCGCTCGACGTTCGCCGCACAGAGGTGTATTGCATGGCAGGTCTTGGGACGGATATTGTTTCGACTGGGGAAGGGACAATTTGGGGAGAGGGGCACTCCGCTTGTTGAGGGACTGTGGGGGACGATCGAGAAAGAGGGCGTGGTCGCAGGGATGTTGGCGGAAGCGGATGATTCGGGGGATACTGATCGGGCTAGGAACCGCGGACAGCAGAAAGAGCAGTCGGGAGAAGCCGAACAGAAGGAGGAGTCAGTAGAGGAGGGTGCAGAGTCCTCATCTGCGAAAGACGGGGACAGACGGCGACATCATGCCAGCGCTACGGCGTGGGCTGTCGAGGGAGTCTGGCTATGGCAGATGGGCGGAGGAGGGGATCGCGGCATACTCAAAGCCGGCGCTGTTCGGTCTCAGTAACATCGCGATCTTCTGTAAGTTCGAGTTTGCAAGGATATGGAGTCATGGACCGTACATAATCCACTGTTCTTTAATCAAGTTTTATAATATCGATGAATTGTAACTAGCTACAGTAAGAGCCACTCAAGCATCGAAGAACCATGAGTGATGATGAGATACACTTCTTTCCGCATTCCATCTATGATAATACAACCTTCCTTGAATTAGTATGATACAACATAGCGCGGAATTGAACATCTTAGCAAGTCATCAATCATATACCATGCGGCATTGCCGTAGCAATAGGAAAACGAAGTAACCCTCCCCTTCCATATCATATACAATGAATGTCCCTCACTCGTAGTCTCCGATCTGCACTCCCCAGATCTTCCATCTTGTCTCTTCGATGTAATCCCTGCGCAACCACAAGCCATCGCACGAGCCGCTCTGACCCTCCTCGTCCAGACCGTCATCAGCCTTCGAATCCAGCCAGCTGAACAACAACCGTAATTGCCAGAGACGGTCTCGGACCTCATCCGCGTCGACGCCCCGACCTTTCGCAGTCTGAATGGCGTTGTGCACCGTCCGCTCCAGGACTAGTTGGATGTCTACGGCGGAAGGACGTAGCCAGGGCACAGACGACGGTTCCGCCGTAGGGATTCCGGACCGACGACGCCAGGTAGAGGGGAAAGAGGGAGGCAGAACGAGGGCCTTCTCGCGGATATCCAGGTCTTGCAGGGAACTCAGAGCAAAGATCCATTCCCAGAGATTGTGAGCTGGTGCACTGGGGGTGCGTGGCCCACTCAAAGTGGCGACTTGGGCCGGAGCCAACAAGCCCTTGCCCGGTTGCGAGGCGACTGAGGATGACGGAAGGACGTCTTGCGCGTCGCTGAGGCCGGAGAGCGTCGACATGAAGACAGTCGGCGCGCCTGTGGAGCTGTACCTAGCCTTGCGACGGAGATAGATCGATTGATCGCCCTGGCGAAGCTTGTCACGCAGATCAGGATGAGCGGCAAAGTCTAAGACCAATGGCCAGTAGTCCGCGTGACGCATTTCCACACGAGTCAGCCCGCTAAGGTCGGGAAGGAGGCAGGGCGCTGTGACGGTGCGACGGAACCCTTGGGCATTGGTCCATGTGATGGGGAGGGAGATTGGACGGCGAGAGTCGAGATCACGCGGCACCAGGCAGCGCGGTTCAGCGGCCAGCACCCACAGATGGCGGAATGCCTGCAAATGACATTTGTTGTCGAGGACAGTGGTGGGAAAGATAGGGTAGAGAGAGCATAGCAGGGATGCAATGGCCAAATCTGATGTGCCCAGGGTGTAACTGCCGCCGCCCAGGAACAACAGCCCCAACGCCATGTGTGATGCCATATGGCTGCCGTAAGGCGTGTCCGGATCCACGCGTCCATGTAGTGACCGCAGCCGGCGAAAGAGGGCCAGATCCCCCGTGCCGGCCATGACAGCGGCGGCTGATAGGGCTACGACGTCCTGACAGTGTCGCACAGAGTTACGCGTCAGCTTGGCGTCGTAATTGATCGCGGGTAGACGGCAGATGCGAATGAATTGGTCAAGGTAGGCAAGGAGAAGATCGCGTGCTGCCGGCTGAGCAGAGCCCGCATAGCGCAGACCGAGTGTGAAGCATAATCCCGCGACGATATTGAAGAATGGCATGTCGTCGCTCCTCAGCTGGCGCACGCCTTTCAAACGATATCGGCGGCGATATACGGGGGGTAAACTCTGCACAAGCCACTCGTCGGCGGGCCGGATGCGATCCCACATGATCAAGTGACGTGCGAGGGTGCGCAGGAGGAAGATATCGGGCCGGACGTAGTCGAATCGCACCGTCGTATCCGGAATGTCAATCTTCTGCGCGAGAATCTCATCGTTGGTCTTCATGAAGATAATCGCCAGCGCGATTGTCGCACCGGCTGTAGCTCGATCTAGGATATGCGCGAGGTCCACATTCTTAGTGCCTACAGCCACCGCCAGCAGTCGTTCCACGATATGCATGTCGCGCATACCACGAAGGTCTTTCCCTTTGCCCAGGTTGATGAAGCCTAAAGCCAACCCGGCTGCAAGACGGTACCCTTCGTCCCGCAGGTCATCATGCGAAGAGCTACTTTCCTCCTGCTCGACATGCTCGATTTCAGACAACATGACCTCGCTCATGCGTCGATGTTGTGAACCGCAATACAGCAGACCAATACCCATGATTCCCGCCGTCTGGGTCAGTGGCGATAGGTTAAGCTCAGCTGCACCCATTGGCAGCATCCGTGTAACGTGGACGGAAAGAAGCCGAGTAATGAGGGTATCCATCGTCCCCAGATAAGATGCCGAGAGACCAAGCAGCAGACCAATCGATGTCATCGTATGTTTGGGTGTTAGATATTTGAAGGCCACCCACTTAGCCAACGACTTGAGATGACCATTGAGACCTAGAGCCAGCAGGAAACCGGCGTGTCGGTTTGTGAGCTCCTGTGGTTTGTTGAAAAGGATCCACGAAGTATCGATGCCCTTGGAATGCTTCGAGATAGCCAAGCCAGTCGACACCCCGTTGTGGAAGAAAGCCCAGCACACCTTCTCTTCACTAAATGAGGCTCGGTCTGCGCTAATCGTCACGTTCGATGGCTTCATGACACACTGTAAGGAGAAGGAAGGAATAGGGAGTTTCTCAGTCAAGAGGGGCAAGCGACCACTAAAGGCCAACATAGCCCGTCCGGTTGGGATAGAGAGTGTACGCAGGGTCACTAGTTGCACTACCTCTTTCTGCGCCTCCAACAAATCCGAATCGGTCCACTCTGGCTCGGGTATGCATTCGGCCACTGGAGCCTTGGACTGGTTCAGCAACCGTGTCGCTTCAATGAACCGCTTGTCTTCTCTGAAAATCAACCTGGTAACGGAGAGTCGATCTGCCTCTGCAGATACCTCAAAAGAATTGGTCGCATCGACGTCCAGGGCAGAGATCCCGATGTGGTGAACATCACGCACTGCGTCATGCGACATTGCAGGCTGCAACGGTGCGGGCGCGGGCGGTAATCCGGGGTTGTTTCCACCCAGAGATATGCCGAGGTCTTCGCGATCAATGAGCTGGAGAAGCGTCGAGCCCCATGATGTCGAAGCATGTATTTGTGACTGTAAAATTGTCTCATATAAGGGAGCGCTCACACCTTCAGGGAAGGTTTCGATGATATTCTTTGTGAGCCCCCAACGATGAAGAAGCTGGATTCGATCAAGGGATGTTGAGCAGGTGTGTACCTCTGATAAGAAGCCATCCAGTGCTAAAGTCCGCGGGGTGAGTGCGTAGCATTCCTGCCATAATCGACCTTTCTTTGGGGATCTGTTGGGACTGACGACAAGATTTAACAGCGTGAAGAAAGACCCCGAGGATCCACGCCATGCCATTTCAAGATGCGAAAAAATCGAAGGAGGAGTGAATGGTTCGTCAGGTACATCTAGCTTGGTCATACGCGTTTCTTCGAATTCCCAGCGATCCATACTGGCCATTTCCGTCCCGAAATAAGTGTCGTCAGCCCATGTCCAAGACGTCCATCCAAGCCAGCCGCCGATCTGGGCGAGAACAGGAGCAAGAAGACCCAGAGGTTTACGTGACTGTTCACTGTCGCAAATGGACAGCTTCTGCTCCTCTCGAAGGAGGTGCAGCGCTACCAAGATCGTACATAGTGCGGTACTGCGCAGGCTTTGACTGAATGACAGCGCTGTAGGCAAGTAACCCTCCGAGCCCACCGCGGATACACCTTGCGGACTCTGCAAAAACTCTCTAGCCAGAGTGATACACCGAGTGAGATAGGTGTTCCGACGGTATGTGGACCGGCTGGAAGAGGATTGTATGCCTTGGCTAAGTTCGCAATCTTGTGCATCTTGCTCTACGACCCAGCCCCAGGAGCTGGTGGTCATCCATGATGCCACCACACCAGCAGAGCCAGATTCCTGATCGAGCATTGCCTCCCAACTCTCCGAGTCGACATGTGTCCCGCTGCTTGATCGCAATAGTCCCTTCTTTCGTCGCGTGGGCTTAGTATGTGTCCTCGTCGTTTTGCTCTCAATGAACGGTATAGCCATTGAAAATAAGACCACAACCATAGCTGTCCACTCCAGGTCATCCTCGTCGGTGTCTCGCCCCTGGAGCCATTTCATGACTTCCCACCATGTTGTCAGGATTCCATCGCCTGCCTTTTCGGAATCCGGTAAAGCGAACCGACACACCTTGAAAACATTCTTCACCATATCATTTCTTGGCTCCATCTTGATTTGAAGCTTATGCCGACGATTGGCTGAGTCTATAACATCGAACTTGCCTCGGACAGCTGCATGGTCGAGCCCGACGACCGAAATTGACGAATCTGTCATCAGGCGTTTGACGCCACTTTCTCGCCGCCGGCTTCCGGGAACATTTGAGTATATGCCGTATGCTTCATTCAACATGAGTCTCCGCGGAATCTCGACCGCATGCGGCGTACTCCACAGGGTCTGAAGGTGTAATACACGCTGGCCATCATCTCCTATCTTTAGGGTCATGAGTCTCGAAATGTCGCCATCGACCACCTTGCAAGCATCACAGACATCTGAGAAATGCTGTATACCTGAAGCCTGGATAAGTAGCGACCGCTCGGTGGACGCGCCACCCTTCTTCTTCTTGCCAAACATACCTCCGTCCTTCTTCGGGATGGCAACACGATCAGCTCGGAGGTTGACAACGGTCATAGACCTTGCCTCTTGGTCCACCAGGCAGAGGGCCAGGGCTGCCGAGTATCCATCCTGCGAGTTTCCAGACTCCGACGGAGAGAGCGTGATAATTTTCAGTCTCCGTGAGGAGGACTTGGTTTTCACTGGTGTATGAAAGGAGCCCGAAAATTTGGATGAGAAGCTCTCAACCTTGGTTAGCAAGACCTCTTCTGGAAGCCCCGACGCCGAATCTTTCAAGTCCATGTTTTCGAACCCCTCGAAGAGACTTTCGTTATTGAGTTCTTCCAGCAACCTATCCACCGGTGCGTCGATGAAGCTGCTCGTAGTACTGTAGACGGAACCGTTGCCCGGTGGCAGTGAGCCTCTCGGATTGAACCCAAAGCTCCCCCGAGTGCTACCAGCACCAAGAGACTGCCGCATGTTCCCGTGAGGCATCGACCCCGATTGGCTTCCTGTCGCTAAATCCGAGAATGTAATGCGGTCTTGGCTGGAGGCCAGGTCCGCTCGTGCCAGTAAAGAACTCACACGTCGGGAAGTCTTGAGCGGCACACCGATGTCCCCAAAGTCCTGACCCAGTTTCGACGCTAGATCGTCCTCATCCGGCCTCCCTTCCACGGAGTACTGCGACAGGGACAGGCCCGATGTGTTCCACGCGTCGCCCCTGGGACCGAAGCTCTCCCTGGCACCTGACGGGCGGGCAGCAGGCGTGGTTGACCCTGTGGTCATTCCGAAGTGAGAACTCCGCCGCTTTGATCGAGTGCCACCTGTGTCCCGTCTCTTGTCCTTTTTCTTCTTCTTGGATGCTGGAGCGAATTCGTCTTCTCTGTAGCGTGCTGTCCAGACTGTGTAGAGTCCCGTGTTCATATTGGCAGTCACCACGAGGATGAGAGGCCCATTGGCCAGGTTTCGACTCGACCCAGATAGTTCATCCCTTGGAGACACGTACACGATCTCATCCGCAGAGTCAAGGACATCCAATCCAGACGGTCGGGCATTGACACTCGTTTGGAGCCAGCGAGACGATTGCTTTGTGACGACTAGGCCCATTTCCGAGTGGGGATCGATCAGCGAGAAGACACGAGGAAGATCTGCTTGTTTGCTACTCCGGGGCTTCAGGCCTGTGCTCTGGGCCGGTGATATTGTTAAGGATGGGCGGCCCTTCCTGCCGGACGGAACTTCTAGCGTCTGTGACGCTCGGAAATCAGGCAGTGTTGATACGAAGGAATTCGGGGGCGCCGTCGGGACCGGACTGGTATCTTCTTCTTCAAGCACTTTGCGCTGGAACAGCAAGCCCCTGGGCGTGGCAAAGACCGAATCTACCTCAAACGGAAGAGGAACAACATGGCTGTTGCCAGTCAAGAAGAAGATATGAGCCTGCGACTTGAGAACCACCACTAGCGCCCGAGAAACATTTGCTGGCTGAGGTCCGTTCGGCCCTGGCCCTGTATTATCCCTCTGGTCGATCTTCCGTTTTGCTGTGGCCTTTTTCGGCTGTAGTTGACCTCCATCAACTTGGGGTTCGTTGGATTCGTGAAGGCGACCAAGAACATGGCTTATCTGCGACGAGTCGCCATTGATCGCCTTCGAAAGACTCGCTTCAGACCGTTTAATCTTCCCTACTGAGAATTTGGCCAGCAGAGCATGTCGAATATCCTCTTTCTCGACATCTAAGCGGAAGACTCTCTTCACGACCCCCGCTCGCGACCAAACTGCGCAACTCTTCGTCCATACGATCTCCTCTTCGACCAGATCGCTGGAATCTTCATCGACACTAGTCGTCCATTTGTATAGATTCTGAGAGGGGTCAGGGGGTAGTAGACCTTCTGCGACTAGGAAGGCGACAGCCGCAGGTTCGTGGAGACCGAGGGACCGCACAGCAGCCATTATCGGCGCAAATGGTTGTCGTTGGGTGTAGCGGGTGAATGGCTGGCACAGGGAGCCAGAGACAGGGTCATGTCCATTGTCGACCCCAGCGTATGTCGACAAGAGAAGAAATTGAACTCACGCCCAAGCCGGGGGAGGGAGGAGAATTTGTGGAGGAGGTTATAAGAAAAGACGGTGGATTTAATAGATAGTGGGTAGACTTAAATTAAGAGCAGGAGACTGACTACAAAAGAGGCGGAGGGAACGCGCTGGACGCGGGCAAACGGCGAGCGGGACCGAAAGTTGATCTCCGCCCCGACAAAAACAACCCGCCCGCCCATTCATTCAATTCATCTACAATCATTATCCGCATTCCTCCTTCTGTCTTCCCTCATTACTCACTACGGTGATCTATCGATCTATCTATCTATCTACCTGGAATGGTTGTTGTTGATCTTCTGGACTAGACATCCAGCAGATTTGCGCGATCCAGCTCTTCCAACAAGCTTCAAGCTCTGCCCACACCGACTTCACCTTCCCATCAAGCACCGCACAACGCCGCAGAGATCTGTTTAGACCATGCCATCTTTTCCGTCCAGGCCTCTGGTCAGACCCAGAGATGACAGTAGCTTGCAGTTGAGGTAAGCTCGTTTCACTGCTGGCATACAATGTGCCTATCGTATTGACCATGGTTGCTCCTCCCTCTAGCTATCAATTTCCTCATCGTGTCCACACAGCAGCCGGTTACCCCCTACTTGCGCCCAATGGCTCCTCAATCATTGTTTACGGCTACGAGACAGGCCTGAAGGTGGTCTGGCGAGGAGGGAAGCCTTTTGCAGCGGAGAAAGCATCTATTGCCACGGCCGGGAAGCCTCAGAAGGCCGCTCCACCCCCCAGCGACGATGCTGTCATGATCATCGATTCCGACGACGAGAGTATTGCGGAGGTCCAGTCGTCGGTCTCTAAGGAGGAACCCAAATATGATTTCGAAGAGGAAGAACCTGAAGTGGACCCCGCCCATCCTTATGAAAGAATACTGCGCCAGGTCGACATTCCTCTTGGAAGCCGGGTTCTTCACCTGGCTGCACCACGCATTCTACCCGAAACGGCGCGCTCGTCACTAGATCCGTTTCCCCCCACCTTGAACGAGGTCATTGTCATTGCTGCCGTGTGTGCAGATTACTCTACCCGCGTGATAACCCTGCCCTTAAGCCCTCCTCACCCTGCCCAAACCAAGATCGGGATTCAAACAATCTCCATTAGCGGCGGAGTGTCCCATCAAGAGCTTCCTCGTGGTCTCAGCCTCACATTCACGTATCAAGAAACCGAGAAGACGGAACAAAGTTTGTCGCGCAGCCCACAATACGCTCCTGGGCGATGGGACCTTCTCGTTGCAACCCATTCCGCAGAGTCGGCCGGTCTGCTCTTGATTCACCGGATTCCGATCGCAGCAGGGCATCAGCTCTGCGACGATGAAATTGAGACCACACGACGATATCTTCCGGCTCCAGCCACAAATATTTCATTCAATCCGTCAGGCTACCCTACGCCACGCCACTCTACATTGCTTGTCGCTTTCCACAGTGGATGTGTCAAAGTGTACTCGTGTTTCGCTACCAAGCCTTTCAAGGCTTCTCATAGATCCTCCGGCGTGCAGAGTGATTCTGAGATTTCCCAAACGGAAGGAAAGTGGCTCATCAGTCTTTATCCTGGGTTCGAGCAAAACGTTTCGGGACCCGCGAAGCGCAAGACTGTGGTCAGCGCGGAATGGGTACTCGGAGGCCGAGCCATCATGGTCCTGATGTCGGACGGGGAATGGGGGGTTTGGGACATTGAAGGCACCGGCCCGGGGAGTATCAAGGGTCCGCTTCAGCGTCAAGCTAGTGTACAGGGCGTAACGGGCGGCTCTCTGACAACCTTCTCCGTCAGCGGGCGGCTGCTGAGCCCTCTGCCCAGCGGTCATTCTGAGACCGGTGGACCTTCTTTCGAATATCGACCCAGGTTCGCTCCTCTGACACCATCAACCAAACGCTTGCGGGAAGATACGTTGTTGAAGGGCGGCTCGACTGGCACTGCCAGCTCCTCGCTGTGCGGTGGCATCTCGGTGTATCAGACAAACGCGTGGAATGACCCTATGCCGGACGAGTCTATCTTGTTGCGACACGGCAATCAGACCGCCGTCATTTCTAGTTTGTTGTCTCTGTGGCGCAACGCCATCAAGGCTAGCGGCACGTTCGACTCCTCCAACCGCTGCCGCGTGTCCACCCTTCAAGACATCACCCTGATGGGTGAGCGCCTGAAGGGGATTGGCCATCTCCCCGTGTCCCTCAGCCGCACACGCGGGTCTGAACAGCAGCCATTTGACTTTATCCTCACCGCCGAACATCGGGTTCTGATCCTCGCGCCTAGACTGGTTGAACCGGAGCCCGTTCCAACCGGGTCGAAGGCAGCCGTTGGGGCCACCAGCAGCGAAATCGACCAGCAGCGTCTGCATCGAGGTGAACTGGATGTGGGCGGGATGGACCGACTTCTGAGTGATATGGCGAATGCCAAACGGTCGATCGGCATGGGAAGCCCCATCAAGCGAATCCGCAACTTTACTTGAGCTGCAACAAGCAGGCTCTTCCAGCGCCAGCTCTCGGTGTGGCCGTGTACCATACGATCTCTATTTATGATTCGAAGCAATCAACATACGTCCACTAAGCACCCGACAATTGATTGTCTGCGACGCACTCAGCCATCTACTACACCCAGGATCCGACCCTGAACAGCACACCCACATCACCTCATCCCGTGCAAATCGTCAAGCAGATAGGATGACCAAGATACCCAATACTGACACGTTTACATCTCCCGGGACTTTCCCATACCCTCTTTCCCTCCTTTCCAATTTTCCTCCGTAGGAGCACCCCACCCTCCTCTCAATTCCGCACTGCAAGGTGGAGCGCAAGGCGAGTTCAATACCTTGAAATCCCATTTTCCTCACGGAGAGGGGATAAGCTCTGTATCTGTCGCGGTACATTAACAACCCATCTAACATCTCATCCATTCTTCACTGATCGGAAGAGATTGCCCCCCTCCTACCCAGGTCGCTCCTCGGACCGGACTTTCCTCAAAGAAAGCCCACCCCAGGCCAACGACCGTTCCCTTCAATCCCCTTGACCAGAAAGAGCGGCCGCCTCCGCTCCCATGTCCCTTTCGTTTCTATGGTCGAGATTGATCTTTGTCTCCGGTTCCGTCGTCTACCTGTCCGGCGCACCTCTCGTGGGGAGTGCAGGATGCGTACGCCGATGGGATTGGAATAGGTCAGAAGTGGGGTTCATCCTGCTGGACTTGACCTGTACAGACAAGATTCCACATCGATGTCAATCGTGGAGAGAAGGGGAGGTGGCTGGACTTGGATGGGATGGGGTGGGATTCGGTGTGGGGGAGGGCGATGGGGACAATCGTCTCGTAAAAGCAGTCAGTCAGTATTCTGTACTGTAGGTTAACTGGATCTAGGTTATAACTTAAATGTTTGTCTATTATTAAATAACTAGGTTACGGACTGCATTGATGTTCATCCTGGCGGGGCTAGGAAGTATGTCCATAATATATATTCTATCGAAAACACCTGAAATAATCAAGAACACATAACAAATTGCAACAACTAAACAGGTTATGTGCACTTGAAAGGATATTCTGTGTATGCAGGTAACACAGTCGATTTAACTACTTACAGGCCATCTACGCCACAAAGTCAGCTATCATTGGATATGAGAGGTTAGGAAAAGAAACCGATCAATAGTCTAGAATGGATAGTATATTTTTCTCTTGCCAACCACATGATCTATATATGGAATACACATATAGATTCTCTAGATATGCAATATGCTTGATATCGTCACTCGATTCCAACGATGCAAGCAGCACCAAAGCGATGCCACAGATCAAATCAGATCAGCGAAGATGATTTCCACATGATGTACTGTACCAAGAATAAACAGGCACAGGGAGTCTATATGTACAGGCAAAAGGCACACGGGGAACTGTTCCCAGCTCAACCACTGTAGCCCAACGACTCCAGTTCCTTGCGCACGGCCTCCTCGGTCTGGATCTTCTTCATCTGCGTATCCTCCAGCTTCTCTCCACCGGCAAGGCGCATTTTCAGCTCGTCGATCGCCCGGATCTTCTTCAGAAGTCCACGGATCTTCTTATCCTGCGCAGTAGGAGCTCCGTTGGCATCATCCGCCTCCGCAGCATTGTCGTTGGCCTTGGCTTGAGCATTCGCCTTGGCGGACGCTCCGTTGGCCTGGTGATTGTTTTTGCGCTCGTTGTTCTGGCCCTTGGACCGGTTGCGCTCATGAGCCTTGTCGCCACGGCGGTCGGGGCTGCGGGTGGATTGGCCGGCCGCCTGCTCACCCTCACCCTGTTCGTCCTTCAGCTTCTTGGCCTCACGCTTCTTCTTGTTGCGGGCAGCAGTCTTGGACAGCTTCTCCGGCTGCTCGACGCCCGGGGGGAGGGCCACGCCTCCTCCAGGAGCGGCTCCCGGAGGCAGGAATTCCTCAGCCGGCTCAGCACCGGGCACCTCACGTCTGCGAGTGCGACCGAAGCCGTTCACCGCACCACCAGTGGGCGCGCCATCCCGGATGTACGCGGCACCGCCCTGGTCTTCACGCTTGAAAGCCAGAGGAGTGAGCTGGCCACGGGCGCCGGGGGGACGGTACGCACCCGCGGGCTTGACAGGAGCCTTCTTGGTGCTGAGGTAAGCCACGGCGGACGGGTGAGGGGTCGGCAGAGGATTGAACGGATCGCCCAGCGGGTGCTGCTCCAGGGACTGGGGGCGCCAGAACACGTCGTAAAGCTCGGTCATGTCCTCATTGTACATCAACGCGCCGCTCACGTGCCAGATACGGAGTCCGTTGTCGACGCGCAGACGGGGGCTAGTCGTAGCGGTCAGAATGAACTGGCCGTCGGGGGACCAATTGCAGACACTGGAGTTGGACGCCTCTACAGTCGCGATCTTGTGGTAGTTCTTATCCATGTCGTACAGATCCATCTGACCGGCAAGATTACCAAAACCAGCCACGAGGACGAAGCGACCGTGAGGAGAGAACTGGATCGTGTTGCGAGGGCCAAGCGGGAAGCTGTGCTTGGGGACACCGCGGAAATTGAAGATGGTGGTCTTGGCTGGCATGTATCCGTAGACCACACCGAACTCCTTCGAGTTGGGGTTCCAAGTCACGTCGTGAATAGGGCCTTCCTTGTCTATTGTAGCAATGTCAGCACACCGTTTCCCTCACACCGATTCCACATGCACCGTGGTTTTACATACCCAGGTCCACACGAGAGTCGAAGCCACCTCCGGCACTAAGCAAGTAGAGAGTGGTCTCGCCGTAGTAGCTCTTGCCCGAGCGATCGACGTCAGTCTGAGCTAGCACAATCAAGGTCGTACCCTGGTCGTTCCACTTCAGCTGCACCTTGTCACCCTTGAAGAAAGTCTTCTGCGAGACAGGTGCTCCAAACTGAGGCACCATGAACACCTTGACGGCGGCAGGTTGTCCCTACAAGCAAATTCAGTAAGCACTCGTGGCGGTTGGAAGGTGGTTCCGCATACCTTGCGCTCCGGGATGAAGACGGCAATGGAAGTGTTCTTGCCGGGCGAAATGGCGAAATCAGCCACTCCCTCCACTCGCAGCTTGGTCCAGACCTGGGAGAGGTTCTCGCTCTGGTAGAACTGGACTTCGTTGGTCACGACGCGCGCGCAGTGACGCTCATCGGAGGTGTACTGAAGATTCCAGCCCGTCTGAGACTTCTGGACGAAGCTGCCCACGACTACGTTCTCATCTCCGCTGGACACGACCTGCCAGACCTTCAGGTTCTTGGTAGCATCGCCATTGGCATCCTTGGTCGGACGCTGCCACGTGATCAGATAGGTTCCAAGCGGCGAGAATCCCAGCTCGAACACATTCTCCGCAGCAATAGTGGAAACGACATGTCCAACGGATGGATCAATGATTGTCACCCTAAGATATGGTCAATCCAACTGCCATTTGTCTATTCTGTAGGAAGGGCTGCCATACTTCTCGGGGGAGGCCCAGGCGAAATAGCGACCGCAAGGAGAATAAGCGCTGCAACGAAGGTTTCCCTCAGGCCTGTAACAATAGGTCATAATCAGTACATGGTGTCCAGAGAGAACAATGCCATTTATCCTGGGGGCGATAGCACATACTTCTCGAATCCAGACAAAGGCGCATAGACTGGGGCCGCATCCAGGACGCCCACACCCTTAACCGTACGGTCTGCATTTTGGTTAGCGTCCCGTGCAAAATTCTTGAGCAACGAATCATCAAGACCGGGCTGGGGGGGGATCGGGCTTGAGCAGGGGAGGACCTACAAGCCAACTGTGTAGGGGCTGCCATTTTCAACGATGTATGATATCGGGACGACACACGGAATCGCAAAGTCACGAAGCTAGCGGAAGACGCGCACGGGAAGTCGCAGTGACAGTCCAAGAACTCTTGCAAAATCCTCTAAAATCCAAGGTGTAGACGAAACAAATCCCCGCTACTCAACTGTGTAACAGGCGGGCCGACGACGGAAGAGGTTGGGAGGAACAAGTCAATAAGATCGCCGAAGATCGAATGCGAAAATGAGTTTGCTCCTGACGGAGTGGCCAAAGGAAGAAGGTGGGAAAAGTGAACAAAGCCACGGCGAGGACGATTGGATTGAGGCAGTGAAGACCACAGGCACGCGCGCACGTACACACAAAGACTGTGCGGATTGACGGGCGGAGCTTGGCAGGTGGGAAGACGAGAGATCTTGCGCTTTGAGAAGGGGGAAGTCCCAGAGTATTCCTTGTGCTTGACAAGTCAATGCCAGCTGATGACGATGGACAGGGAAGACTGAATTGGAACTTTTTGTTGGGAAGAGACGTAGAAGCGAGAAGGTAGAGTGGGATTGAGGAGGAGGAGAGGAAGCGTGGGGAAAGAGGGAGAGGGAGGGAGGGAGAAGGAGGAAGAAAGTTGGTGGTGGTGATGGTGGAGAGCGAGAGAGAGAGGGAGAGAGAGAGGGAAGAAGAAAGAGGCGAAGAGAGAGAGAGAAAGAATTGCGGGAGCCGCCGAGCAAAGCGTCTTTCGATTGGGCGCTCTTCCGCCCGCCCACTTTCGCCCCAGCCCCTAGGAAAAAGTTCCAGACCGTTTTTAGGAAGTATTTTGATGGTTATTTCGTTCGTTTTTAAGATATGGTCAAATTTCTCATTCTTTCAATGCAATGACAGTCTCAAATGGCAAATGGCAAATGGCAAAACCGCAAAACCGCAATTTCAATTGTTGTCAATCGCAACTCGCAGTGCTCGTCCAGCCTTAAGGTAATCCTACTACATACCCCTACCTACCTAGTTCTCCTCAGGTAGACAGACTGGTCTTCAAAACAATTCGCGCCCCCCCCCCCCATACAATTACAAACCAACCCCCCTTTGCAAATAATCCCAATCGCTGATAACAGATGTTACTACAAAATCATGGCCAGCCCTTCCATCCATGAACGCCAAATATCCTTAAATCCGGTCTTCGATCGCATGTCTCTTTCCAACCAAACTACTTAGATCTCCGCCTGCGGGTTGCCACCTTGTGCCGGGGTGGCCAACCGAGGGGTCCTCACCGTGGTATCTACCACATTCGCATCGTAGGTCATCCCATCCATCATGCGGGCATCCTGCGTAGGCTCAGGGGTGATCGAGCCGGTTGGCGACATCGTGGATAGCAGCATGGCCGTGTCTCCGCCCGAGTGTTGAGACCCCCCGGGATTCACCCGCGCCAGACCAGGGCTGCCGAACGATCCTGGTCGGCCTCCAGACGAGGTCCGATTCAGCATGGGGTTGGAAACTGGCCCACTGACGGTACTGGCGCCCTCCCCAAATGCGACCAAACTGGCATCACCTTCATCGCTGAAGTTACCTACACTCGAGGTGCCGTCTTCCGGGTACTCACTCATCTTATCCGCATCGAAGGCATCGCTGCCGCTGGCCCAGGTCGTGCGGGCGCCCACGCTGCCCGTAGCACTGGCACTACCCACCGTACTGCGCTCTTTGATCGCCGACCCGCTCTCAAAGAAACCGGGGTGATGGGTCGGGGGCAGGGGGCCACTGGGCTGAGAGGTACCACCCGCCCGGGCCGTGGCTACTCGTTCTAAACCGGCCAGACGTGAGATGCGATCGGCCCGTTCCGCTTCCAGGGTGCTGGTGGACGTGGTCGATGCGGACGGAGAATGGTGGGCATGACGTCCGTACGGGTGCGGCTGGCCTTGATGGCCGTCCTTAATGGCGGTGGTGGAGAGGGCTGAAAGCGAAGTGGTGCCGGAGTTCGGAGTTCCTCTGTAAAAGGACATCGGAGGTTTGGGTCAGTATAGAACCAGGAGAAGGAAAGCTCAACGAGGAGTCAAAAAAGGAAGAAACAGCTCTGGTGGTGGGCAATCTTACGGTCCCATCTCGGATGGAGTCACCGGATCCGATGGCGGAGGAGGCAGGTTGATCAAAGTTGGGGTCGGCCGATTCATCATGGTTCGACGATGAAGTTTGAACCGTGAGAATGATGAGTTGAAGGGAAATGTAGCTGTCAATCACTTGGGAAAGGCAGGGAGAGAGCTTAAGTAGTCCCAATGAGAATTGGTAGCAAGCCGATAAGAATTATGCGGGGCACCGCAGAAGGGAAAGAAGATAGCGAAGAATGAACCGAATGGCGCATTCCAAGCCGCTTATTTAAGGTGTAGTCCGCGAATTCAATCTCTCCCTCCGTCTCCTGGAAGGTTTCACAGTTGCGGGAGCTGGCAAATGTTCGGTACGCGTGGAGAGAAAGATAGATATGAATAGAATAGAATAATAGTTTGATGTGAAAGTGAGGCTGCGGGTGGGCCAGAGAAGAAGGGGATACGATAATAATGATGAGGATGCGGAAGAGAAGTCGCCTCCTTATGTATTCTTTGAGGACTATCTGCGCGAGCTTGCCTCGATCCACCCGCCGATAGATAGTCTATTAGGTATGGGATGTTTGGAGATGAGAAGTTTATGGTCCACCATCGACAGAATATTTCGTGGTGAGAATCCAATCCAATTGCATAAATGCGACTCAAAGCGTCGGTCTTTCCTTTCGCCTCAGGCTGCGACGAGCCTTGCCTGTTTCAGACTCCAGCCATGATGTCACCTGCCTGCATGCGCCAATCAGCGCTGCACCAGAGGGGGTGGTGGATCCCGCCATCAATGAGTGCCTCAGGCTCACCTCCGACCAGAGCTCCGCTCCCATTACGGGAAATGTCATGAAGCTGCAGTGCCAGCCAATGGAGGTGGTAGGTCACATAGGTATTGCGTAAATGTCCTCAGATCGAGTTAGTATTGATTATCTATTGACTGGCCAGCAGACGAAGCCACTGCAGCCTCAAGGTATAGCCTCCTCCCACCATCAAGGGGTAACCCCAGAGCATGGCTGCGCTCAATATGACAGGTGCTTTGGACTCCCCTTCAAGATGTCTTCATGCGAAAGCGTCTAAAATTGGTCTTTGACCCCTTTTTCTCTTTCCTCCCTCAGTCGTTCCTCCGTCAACTCCCACCACCAAGCGTGCGAGAGATCTCGGCTGGCCCGCGGCACCAGACTTTTCCGGATCTCTTCGGGCTCGTCCCACGGCTTGGGACTGAGGATGTAATGCACATTCTTCACGCGGTCATCCCGCCAGATCGCATCGTGCACTCCCTCCCATCGTAGCGTCTTCAACGCATTGTACACATACGGAAGCGCCACCCAGCGACCATGAAATACGTCCGAGAGGAGAGACTGGTCGGCGAATTCGTAATTCGAGGTGACAGAGGAAGACAACTGCTCAAGGATCTTATCATAGATGGCCTGGGACGGACTGACCACCTGTAGGCCGCCGTTCGGCATCCCCAGGCCGGTCGTGGGTAGTGCCCCTTCGGTCTGGGCGGCTTCCGGGGATGAATGTTGGGAAGTGAAGGCGCAGTTGGACGGCACCCTTGGCCCATTAGCTCAATCTCTGATAGTACGGAAAGACCACATACCAGTCCTGCGGGTAGTGAGGTTTCTGAAGCGGATTGCAGACACAGGCGTGGCTGGCAGCGAAGACGCGTGACCCCGTGCCGGCCATAGCCGGAGGATCCAATTCGAGATCCATCAGCTCGTCCATGTTCTGGCGGACCAGCATGTCACTGTCGAGTTGGACCACCCGCTCATACTCGACAAGCGAGAAGGGGGTGAGCTTGCTCCAGCAGTCGTAGAAGCGCACATCATTGGCATATTCCTTGGGGACGGAGGGCAGCAGATAGGGAACCTGTTGCTTCAAGATGCCGCGGGCATCGAGTGCGGCATGACCCTCCTCGGGGAACGAGTCTGTGTAGAGCACAACCAGTGGATACTTGGAGCCCACCTTACGGAGTGAATACTCCAGCGTCAGTAGACCGGGAAGATATGTGGTATTTGTAATAAGTGTGGTCCACACTGAGAGAGAGGTTAGCGATACTTCCAGTGTGATAGGATTAGAAATACAGTCATGGTGGGTGAGAGATGCAAGCACCTTTAGTGGCATCGGTTATGCGGGGAAGACCATTGTTGGCAGTCATGGTTGAGAGACGGCGGACTGACGGGGACAGAGTTTGGAGCGAGCTCGAACAAAAGAATGCAAGAGGGAAAAGAAACAAGGATAGCGAGGGTAGAAGAACGAGGGGAAGAGAAAAAAAAAATACCAAAAGGCAATAATAGAATACCGAAAAAAAGAAAAAAGAAGAGAGGCAACCGGAAGGTGTAAGAATTGGGGGGATTGAGTGAATCGGGAATTGAGGAATTGGATGGATCAAATCAAATCAAATCAAATCAATCAATCAATCAATCAATCAATCAATCGTCTGTCCGTCAATCGGTCGACTTCACCGCGGCCGGCCTAACCCGGCTTGGTGTTAGCAAGTGGATTTGTTGATTTTGGACCCAATCTGGCTGATCTGAACCGGAGTAGACATCCTGGTACCTTACTAGGTAGACATTTTGGTAGACATATTGGTAGACATCCTGGGAGATATATGCTCGTATTTGATCAACAATCCTCAATTGTTGAATTTCCTTCCTTCAGCCCCTTCCGAGGCGGTCAGCCATAACTGTCAGGCAGAGGTGATCTTCTCTACTTCCTGTCCTCCGTATTTCTTCCTCCCTCCTCCCCCACTCCTTTACGCCGCGCATTGTCACCACTGCATCTTTCGCTTTCCTCCTTTGAGAAGACATCGCATTGCAGAACCTAACCTCTAGTCAACTCCGTTCATGACGGAGCCCGACCACGAGGCCCAGCCTCTAATTCAAGATAGGCGGGTCGATGAAGATCCCTCGACTCCAACGCTGGAGGCACCTCGGAGCAGCTGGTACCTCTTTCTCCTAACTTTAGGCATGGGAGGGTGAGTCAAGCTGTCATCGAGGCTCAGAGACTGGCTGATTGATCATTGGGCTAGTCTCCAGATTGTCTGGTCGATCCAGCACTCCAGTGGATCAGTAAGTCGCATTGCCAACCTTGATGGCGCATACATAGCCTCTGACTAATCTACCCCCAAAGCCCTATCTTCTTTCGCTGGGGATGAGCAAGGCTATGCTCGCCTTTGTGTGGATTGCAGGGCCTTTGACCGGCACCCTGGTCCAGCCCTACATTGGCATCCGGAGTGACAACTGTCGCATCGCCTGGGGTAAAAGGAAACCGTTCATGGCACTCGGGGGAGCAGTTCTTGTCTTCTGCCTGCTGGCGTTGGCATGGGTACGCGAGATTGTCGGTGGCACACTAAGTCTGTTCGGCGTAGATGCGCAATCAGATGGAGTGCGAACCACAGTCCTTGTTGTTGCCACGCTTTTAATGTACTGTCAAGACTTCGCTATCAATACCGGTACGCTCTCTCCATTGCTGTCTCTGGCGCGCCTTGATTGACAAATCAACAGTCCAAGCCGCAACCCGGGCGTTCATCGTAGACAACGCGCCTGCTCATCAACAAGAGTCCGCCAATGCCTGGGCCAGTCGTCATAATGGCGCCGGCAACATCCTGGGCTACATCCTGGGCGGGATGGATCTCCCGAGAACGTTTCCAGCCCTAGGAAACACCCAATTCAAAGGCCTCTCGGTCACTGCCAGCGTCTTCCTGACTGTCACCCTATCCCTCAGCTGTGCCTATATCGAAGAGAAGGACCCGCGCTCCGAGCCTCTCATCTCCACCAGACCAGGCCTCACCTCCCTATTTCGCTCAATCAAAGACTCCATCCACAGCCTCTCAGCCCGAACCCGGCGGATCTACCTCATCCAGGTCCCAGCATGGTTCGCGTGGTTCTCCTTCCTCTTCTACGCAACCACCTACATCGGGCAACTCTATGCTAACCAGATTCTCGACCAACACCACGACCTCCCTGAAGACGAAGTCAACAAGATCTGGGAGGACGCAACGCGGGTCGGGACGCTGGCCCTCCTCGTCAACGCCATCGTCTCCTTCGCAGCCAGCATCATCCTGCCTCTTCTCATCGTCCCCTCTGAGCAAAACCCCGGCTCAGGCCACCACCAGCACCAGCACCAGCAGCAACCCCACTCATCCACCTCTCACACCCGAGGCCGTAGCAGTCTACCTTCTTGGATGCGCATCCGCATCCGCAACCCCACAATCCCGCACCTCACGCTCCGCCGCGCCTGGCTCCTCTCGCATTTCCTTTTCGCCCTCTGCATGTTCAGCACCTTCCTTATCGCCACGCCAGCCCAAGCCTCCATCATGACCGGCATCGTGGGCATCGCCTGGGCCATCACCTCCTGGGCTCCCTGGGCCCTCCTCGCCACGGAGATCGCGCATCACCACGATGATGCCGACAGCAAAGCATACGATGATCGTCCACCCAACCACCTAAACACCCAGGAGTCTTTATCGACAACAGCCCAGCGACCAGCCCATCGCCCCGCGAACCAAGCAGGTATCACCCTGGGCCTCCACAACGTCGCCATCTCCTTCCCGCAAATCATCTCCAGCGCCGTCAGCAGCCTCATCTTCCGCGCGTTACAGAAACCCCGCGCAGAGCCGTGGGATACTTCCACCGCATGGGTGATGAGACTGGGCGGATGTGCTGCTGTTCTAGCAGGGACGTTAACTATAGGGCTCGGTGAGCGTGGGAGGCGGGAAATATAAGGTCTGGTTCCTTTTCCTTTGGAGTTCTGGTTACAAGCGTGGAACGGATCTGGTAGATACTGTCACACAGGATAGGCACAGGGTCAGTCCACGATCATAGTAGCATATTCATGTATAATCCTATCCATCAGTTGCGTCCTGTGTGCGCATACATACAGACCCTAAATATAAATCCTGAATAGACTCTAGGAAAAAAAATAGAAAACGCTATGCTTCATGACTCGTTGCATTTCACCGCACCTGTTTACACACATCGACCAAAACAGACTCTCGCATACTGTATAGACTTGTAGTCGGGGCTGGAGGAGATAGCCAGCTTTACTGGCTCGCCTTGCGACTCTCGTAATGGCCGCGTAGGTCATCGACCTCCTTCTGTAACCGGGTGAGATCCGCCAGAATGTCGTTGGCATTCGACGGGTGCGGGACGTAGTCATCCTTGCCAGCAGCGACCGGTGGTTTATTTGGCCGGAGGCTGAGGCGCGCACTATCCGGGCTGTGGTTGCTGGAATTGCGCGAGCGCCGGGGCGGCGGGGGCGGGGGGTTTTGAAGCGATGCGCGCTTCAGTGACGGACTGGGTGAGGCTGTCCGCCCGGCGTCCCCTGGGGTCCATGGGGTAGAGGAGGAATCAAGTTGCAGCGAGAGTCTGTTCGAGGAAGACGAGGATGATGTCGCCTCCTCAGACGGGATGTTGCCCAAACGAGAATCTCGCGTTCGTGCGGGGTGCAAAGACCACATACTTGGGCTGGAAGGCGGGATGGCCACAGGTGGAGCAGCGGTAGCAGAGTCTGCTTCAGGTGGAATGGAAACTCGTACAGGATTGACTTTGGCGGATGTCGTCTTCGACCGTCGCATCTGACTATGTCGGCGACTCAATGGAGGAGTTGGGGGCCGCTTGTACTGTGACTGGCTCCGACGGAGGGCGTCGACGGGCGGTGACTGCGTGGATTCGCTCGTCTCCATGACGCCAGAAAAATAGTCCGTCGCCGGTTGGGCCGGACGAGGCGAGTACGATGGCTCCGAAGGTGTACCATGGAAGGTAAATCGTTTGGAGGGTTGACTGGGAGTGGTTTGGGAGGTGGAGGATGTCGCGCCTGGACTGGGATTGATGAGCCGCCCGTGGTGACTCTTGGGGGGCGGAGGGGGTGGCATGCGGTCTCTATTCCCAGACCGACTAGCAAGTGGTCGAGGACGAGTATCGGATAATGGGGGCGTTTCTGGTTCGGTGCGGCCTGCTGGACGCAGAGACGGTCGAATTGCATCGGCTGTACTGCCGTCGGGGGTGCGGACCCCTCCTATGGAGGCGAGAGATAGAGAAGAACCCGTTCGCCCGGCGAAGGGGGCATTCTCTTGCGATGCTGCTACAGGCTGGCGTCGCGTGCGATAGTCCTCGGTGCTGAGCGTCTGCGGGACCGCAGCGGTTGGCCGCGATGACGAAGACTTTACAGATACGGGCGGATATGAGTCCAGTGAGTGGACGGTTGACCCTTCGGTGTCTTGTCTCTTCTCCTCCTCCTCATCGTCATCTTCTTGATCACTAGCGGAGGGGCGTTGATGGAACGGGTCTGTGACGGATTGGTTATCGGAGGATGCGGAGTCGTCGAGCTCGGGAGGGTGAGAAGCCGTTGAGAAGCTGGGGAAGCTTGGACTTGACCGCGGTGAGGTGTCAGGCACGGAGAAAAGAGACTCTGGATTGTAGGCGATCGGAGCAGTCTTGGGTTGGGGAGAGATAATGGTATCTAACACGTTCGCCTGTCAGCATCATCGATCGGCCAAGCAGTCAATAATCAATGGGTGGATATGCTTTCGCCCAGGCTGCGTTGAATGAATGCATGAAAGCAATCCGGAACAGTCGGAAGAGACTCACTCGCGGGCTGCCTAGGGCGGAAAGGATTTGATCCAGACATTGCGAAGGAGTTGAAGAGCAGCACTGACCATGAGAGAGGGAGAAGGAAAAGAAAGAGAGTAGAGGGAGAGAAATGGGATGAGGGGGTGGAAAGAGGAGAGAAAGAAGTAGTAGAGGAGAGAGAGAGAGAGAGTCGGAGGACGGAGAGAGCGCGCCAGAGAGGGAAAGACGGACAAGGAAGGAAGACCATTCATCGTTCATTCATCCATTCATTCATTCATCCCGCGCTCCCGCGCGGCTTCTACAACAACAACAACAACAACAACAACAACAACACCATCACGAACTTACAGATACGCGCCATTACTGAACTGTATGGATATTGCTCAATATCTCTTTCGTCTTATTTCAGATATCAGACACTGTAATGCTCATTCTACCCTCCTCAAAGACCGTTCAACCAGTCCAATGAAACTAACAAAAGAGATAACAATGATGCCATGGTTATGAGAAAAATAAATCCAAAGAGGTATATGTTACAATGAAGAGAAGAAAAAAACAAAGGAAGGAATGCAAGAACCAACACAAAACGCAAGAACCCAACAGACCCTTCCAATGAAACACCGTCAGTTGTACAGGAGGTAGTAGTAGTAATAGTAATAAATGGTCATCACAGTATGGGCTTCCTCGAAGGTCAATGCCCGAGAAAGCAGGGTATCAACACGCCCGTGTATCAAGAAGACAAGTAAAGAATAAAATAGAGAGGTAAAAGATAATCCATCGGTGCGACAAATTGCCCAGTTGTCACGGCCGTTCTTCGATCAAGAGTTCATTTCTCTTCATAAACATGCCACTCGTCGGTGCCGAAGAAGGACTGCGCCAGACTTTTGCCACTCGCGGTCGGCTGACTGAAGGCAATCTGTTCCTTGGGGATTTCCATGCCGTAGATGAAGTTGACCACCACACAATCCAATAGATCCATGGCAATTCCTTTGCGACGTGAAGCTTCCGAGGTCCAGATTCGAGAGATCCCCACGATGGCCGGATGAGTTTCATCGCGAACTGTGACGGAGGAGTCGGTGGTGCCTGGGGCTGGCTCGGAGGATTTTTGTATCGGTCGGGATTCCCAGATCCGCTCAGTCAAACAGGCCCCCACGCAGCGACTGTCCTTCATGTGCAAAAACACCTTGTAACGATCGATCTTCTCCGTCGTGCCGTTTCTGCGTAGATGAGCAGGTGGCTCCGTCTGACTCCATAATACTTCGTCTTCAATGATGGGGGAGGAAAGCTCCTTGCCGATGACCTCGAGCACCTTCTTCGCCTGGTTCTTCGCCGTCGGGGTAGCTTTGCGATCGACAATGACCACATATCCTTCGTCGAAACGGATAGCTTCGTAGACCCAGCGCGACGCGTTGGAGCGCATGAAGGCCTTGCCCAGATCCACCCCGGTGATGTTCATCTCGTGAAACTTCTTATGCGTGGCCGAGTCTTCGGCGTTCGAAGGGATGTATTCCATGCCACAGGTTCCACAGGTCCGCCGCACCTCACATCCCACGTCAATTTGCATCTGCTTCAGGGCGTTCGGCTGTTGCGGTTGCGTTGTCGTCGGGGTTGCCGCCGTCTTTTTCTTCGGGGGGTCCATCGACGCGCGCACGCTGTTGGAGTTGACCTCGGTTAGAGGCGTGCTGTTACCGGCAGCATCTTTGGTGGCAGTGTGCTTGCGTTTGAGAAAAGCAAAAGTTGGCTTTCGCGTGTTAGCTGGTGGGGGGCTTAGACGGGGCGGAGGCGATGATGGAGGCGTCGACAGGTCATCATCCTGAGTGCCTTCGGAGAGCACAATCGAGTTGCGACGCGACGGGCTGGATAACACGGCTGCGGACGATTCTCGGATAGCATACTGGATACTGTTCTCCGCCTCGTCCGAATCGGAGCCGGATAACGCGACGCGTCGTTTTTTGGCGGCGGGCCGCTGGTCGTCGTCATAGACGCGCCACAACGGACGCCCGTAAGTTTTCATCATAAGACCTCTGACGTGCGCGATCGTATCAGTTTTCAGGTAGAACACCTCATTATGCAAAGAAGGGGAACTCACCGCTTGAATGAATTTGTCACAGTCCACGGCATCTCCCTGGATTAAATCGAGCGACACACTCAAGCGAGGGAAATCATCTATGGCGTTTGGAAAGGGAGCTGGAAAGCAGAAGCTGAAGGGAGGGATAAAATTGAAGGTGGAAGGGGGGCCAAAGCTATAGAGGGAGGGGAGTCG